TCTCATAATCCACAAATATTCCAATTTTATGAGGTCGGAGGTTCATTTGGACATCTGTGTACGTCTCAGTGCGGAAGGCGTATTTATTCCTGGGTAGGAAATGGAGAAAAACAGAATACAACAATTTGTAATCAAAACAACTGTTTGGGGCTTATACTTAGTTGGCCTAGCCATTAGCCATTAAATTGATGAGTGGTGTAATCAGCCTTTAACAAATCCCACCTGTCCCTTAAACTGAGGAACCAGAAGCCGTTGTCTGGAGTGTAATCAATCTTCCCTTTCCTGTTGACTGACTGCCTGGCCACTCCCAGATCCCAGTCCGTCTTCCCGTTTACTTCCACCTGTTCGTAGGAAGCACGACAATCAAAGATGGAAACGAAGAAAAAGGTTGGAAGGAAACAAAAATCTACATAAATGAAATATTTTGGTCCTTTGAGGAATGGTTGCTGCCAGAATTGTAGGTTTTTAAAGTGAGTGTTTTTTTGACTTGCAGTAAGTTTTTTTTCTTACCTCCCAATAATGTTTCCCAGAAGTGATGGCCTCCCTCCCCAGGACACACACAACTCTGTCAAACCTCTCTGCGTTGTCTGGGACATGATGGTGTCGCTCTCCACACCAAACCTGGAGAGAGAAACATCTCATCAGCACCACCTATTACACTTTGGGATTTTAAAAAATCTGAAGGCTCACTTTTACGACCAGGCATTTTTAAATCCCTGACTTTTATTATTTTATTATGTGTCTTTTTATTGACTGTAATTATCTGCCTTGTGCATTTTATTGTTGACTGTATTGTTTTATATTGTGTTTTTACTTTTTATTCTGTACAGCACTTTGGTCGGCTGCCATGCCGTTTTTAAATGTGCTTTATAAATAAAGATGGTATGGTATGGTATGGTATGGTATGGTATGGTAAAACAGAACACAGGAAGAAGTTTTTTAGAGGGGTCTCACAATTTTTAAGTCTTCTGACAGCACCAGTCTGGGGTGGGCGGTATTGAAGTCCAGGGTGACGTCCACTATAAGGAATAATAACACTCATAAGAGCATATTAGGTAGTTAAAGACCAAGTTCACTTGATGTTTTTTCAACACATTTGCAGTAATCTCTAGTTAAAGCCTTTTTCAGTCGACCTCTGTGTTAGATAACCTCTAAGAGGGGAGCAGAAACAGCAGGTTTTGGACTTTATTTCCTGATATTTGGATATCTAACCTCTGATTGGACAAGAGCAATACGACTCTACCACTGCTTCCATTTGCTCTGCAATATTGATGTTTCATCGCCACAAATAACACAAGCCCGGAGGAGTTCTGTCGTTGCTAATGCTAACGGTTAGCTGCTACTAGCGGAGACATTCTTTGCAGTTTCCTGGACGCTAAACCAACAGCAGTCTTCCCCGTCGTGAGTCAAGATGGGTGAGTCCAAGAATGTTAAGTGACAGTGTGATGTAGATCTGTCAGGCTTTTCCAATCCTAGAGTTTCTTCTTCTATTTTTGTAGCAGAAGGATAACGGGGATTGACTAAGTCCACGTTTAGCCTCCATGTTAAACACAGAGATCGTAATACAAAAGAACAAATAAACAGTTTCAGTGAACTTGGTCTTTAAATTTAAAGAATTTTTTTGGAAAGTGCAACAGGAAATAAATGTTTTGACAAATGAAAGAATCAAGAGAAACTGTATTATTTTAAGAATGTATGATTTTGTTTTTGTGTAACAGAGAAACAGATCTGAATCCAAACCAAGAAAAATAATTACTTTAGCGTTTAAGAACTAAAAACTCTCAGAACCAAAGATAAATAAGTGAAAAGCTCAAGAAACTTTGCAGAATCTGAGAAAGGTAAAGTTTTCACAAAGACATTAGGTTAGTCCACAAATGTAACATACGTGCATATTCCTGAATCTTCCTTCCTCCTGCAGTCAAAAATAAATTAGTATGGTTATCATAACTAATACTTGTTTTTGTGAATTACTGAATCTGAGACATTATCCATAAGAAACACTCACTGTGGTGTGTTCGTGCCAGACTGGTTTCAGGAACTGGGACAGGAAAACCTGAACAGAAACATCAGCAGCTGAAACCTGCGTTTCTTACCAGTACTTAAAAAGCTCGGTGTGATAAAATCCTCACTAAACATCATTTAATGCTATCAGTATGAAGTTAAATGGCTTTAATGCTGTTTTTAACCCAATGTTCCCTATATAATCAATGTGTGTCCTTTATGTAGGAAGATGGGAATTAAAATTTTAATATTTTACATTTATTTACAGTAATACACTTTAACACTAATTTTGTTATGGTGTTTTCTAATAATACTGGAAGAAAAGGCCGTGGGTGGCATATTACTAAACATATTCTGTTTATTTTCTAAAAATACATCAAATGTTTTAAAAACTGTGCTGTTTCTTGTCTATAAGGGCATACTGATATGAAATAGTTTGGGGGAAATAGAAAATTTACACCCAACACAAAACAACTCAGGTCTAAATGGTCATTCTCACCACTAGAGGGCAGTATTTTGGTGCCAATCAAGACCCCAGATTGACCCAAATATCTTAAGAAAGATCATTTTGACCAAAATTATTTAGCATTTCAGTCTGGTCTGTGTTTTGCACACCACCTACCAGTTTCCATAGCTGTCTTCAGTTCTTCCTGGAACTTTTCCACTGTGGCTAACAAAGATCTGTAGACCGCCGCTGTTCTCAGATCAGAGTTCAGGGACACTCCAGACCAGTCTTTGGTAGCTGGAGGTCTGGAGAGGCCAGAGAAAGTCTGAGGAGGAAAGTATGAAGAAATAAATATACGTTCTCCAGAAATCTCATTTGGGTCTTGAAAGATTAACCCTTTTAACTCGGACCAACCGTGACACAGTGGACATGGTCGTCTGATTTGGACAGTTCGGTCAGAGCGTTTTCTCTCTTCAGGAGTTCTTCGATCTCTCTCTCCAGCTGCCGGATCATGGACTCGGCCTGGTTCTCTGCGGCCCTGCGGCCCATCTCCATCACCTCCATCAGCTCCGCCTGACAGCATTCGATGGCAGAGGCCAACTTCGATAAGAGGCACACGCTGCCTGCCATCTCCCTCTCTGCCGCCCTCTACAGAGGTCATTGGGATTTAGATCTTTACTGCCGTCAACAAGTTAGTTTAAAAAATCTTTCCATAGATGCACATGAATCTGTGAGATGTTTGCAACCTCTAAATAAGAGGAAAGTATGCATCTGCGGAACCGAATCAGATTCAGTGTAATTGAAAGTCAGTCGAAGGAGAAAATGGGGAAAAAATGTAAAGGTTGAATATGAAGCAGTTTAATAAAAAGCTATAAAAAATACCTCCACGGGTCATTTAGAGGTGTGCGGAACGAAGGTACAGCATTTCCTTTAAAAGCTTGTATTTTAATTTTAAAATAATCAAATATTTATTTTGTTATCCTTCTCAGATAAGGAGCAACCATAGAAGATCTAAAACCAGAGTGAGTTCATGTGAAGCCTATAGATGGACCCAAATAAAACATTCCACATATCTGCAGAGAACCTGGCATCCCGACGGCTGGAAACCTTCTTCTGCTGATGCAGCTACTGCCTCCACACACTAGATGTTGCTTTGGTGTTATTCAACCTCTACATTTTACATATTGTGATAAATATCATCAAAGGTTTTTACAAATCATGTAATGGCCAAGTCAACTTGTTAAAACTAGTGGAAGATACACAAATTAAATATTCCATCCATAATCAGCACCCGTTTATCCTTGCAGGGTCGGGGGGGGGGGGGGGGGGGGGGGATTTTTTAACTATGGGAGGAAGCCCTGAGAGAATCCACAGATAAACAGGGAGAACATGCAGACGGCTCCACTATCAGCTGAGCAACAGTGAAGTCCCATTATTCATCATCACACGCTGGTGGAATTACACCTCTGTATCTGACCCATCTCCATGGGGAGTGGTGAGCTGCAGCAGTGTGTGTGCGCCCGGGAACTATTTGGTGGTTTAAACCCCCGATCCAACCCCTTAGAGTGTCAAGCAGGAAGGCATTGGGTCCCATTTTTGTAGTCTTTGGTATGACCCAACCGGGATTTGAAGCCTGATCTCACAGTCCCAGGGTGAAGACTCGTGTGTGTGTGTGTGTGTGTGTGTGTGTGTGTGTGTGTGTGTGTTACCTCTACTTCACTCAAAGATGTCTTGATCTCTTCAATCTTCCTCCGTCTCTGGCTGATCATCTCTTGGATCTCTTCCTCTGACTTTCTGAGCTGCGTCTACAAACAAAGTTTTTACAGTTTTCAAAGCACTTTCTACCAGTCTATACACACAGGGACCGTCTACGTTTAAAATACTTGAAGCACTGATGCAGAAAGCAGGAACATTTCTTATTAACAAATTAATGATACTTGACACTATTGTGTCAGAGACTGGAATGAATGACAAATATAATGTTTTTGCTCTGTTTACATCGGGGGGCAGGGGTGGACTGGCCTATCTGGCACTCTGGCACCATCCCGATGGGCTGCTTGCCCAGCTCGGGCCGACACAAATCGCGTGTATTTCACTCATATTAAAATGGTAAATGGCCTGTATTTATACAGCACCATCTATACCACAACCATCATTCACCCAGACACACACCGGTGGTGATGTGCCATAGCCACGGCAGCCCTGGGCCACACTGACAGAGGCAGGGCTGCTGTACACACCGGGTCCAACGACTACAACCACAAGGCAAGGTGGGTTAAGTGCCTGAAGACACAACAGCTGCAACAGACTGAACCTGCAACTCTTGTTAAGCTTATAAAATAAAAACTCTCTTTACAAACATCAATATAATCAATGTCTGTTCATTTTCTTGGATTTTTCCAACCTTGGTTTCCATCCATTCGGTCTCCACGGTCACTGTGTCGTGATCGTTGTGGTCCTCGATCTCACATTCAGGACAGATACACATTTGGTCAGACCTGCAGTACATCTGAAAGCAAAGATAAAGTGTTTAATTTGACATTATCTTTATTATTGCTACATGTTACACCGTAACCAGAGAGCACACAGAGCTGCTGCATGTGAATATTAAAAATACACACTATTATTCCTCTCTGGTGGACGTCGCACAAAGGGTAATTGTGGCTGATTGCTGCACCACTGACAGTGAACCTCCTGCGGCCATTGGGGTGGGTTCTGGGATAAACAGACGGTGGATGTGCGGAGGTGTTGTTCGGACTTCCTTCAGCAGTGAGGAGTGGTACCGATGAATCCATCGTGGCTATGCCTGGTGGAAAGTTGGACTCCCCTGGAGCAGAAAAGGCTGCAAAAATAGACAAAAGAAGTAGTCTGGAGACTAGAGAACAATGATTCTAATGCTAGTTAGGTTTTTACTGTTAATGTTGAGTATGGCAACCTTAAACATGACACTCTCCTAATGCACCCATAGATTGTTCATGTTTTCTGGGTTACATAACTGTCATATATCACTGGGAGCATGGGAAATGGCCTCAAGGTAAACCCACTGGTTCCCATTAGTGTGTTCACACGTTGTGGTTGTTTGCACCCTTCACTGACAGATAGCTGCGAGACATCCCAGAACGACCAGGACTGAATGCAGAGAACAAAAGACATTTGTGTCTTCTCCGTCATTTACATACAGCTGGTGTCAAAAGTTATGACTGTGCAACTAATCAAGTTTATGTTTCAGTTTCGATTCCAGCTCTAGGTGAAAAACAATAGCCTCAACAAGAGACAAACTCACATCTGAGGGGTGTGTATCAGTGCAAAGCAAACTATGTACATCAAAAATATAACTCCCCAACCCCCCCCCCCCCCCACACACACACACACACACACACACACACACACACGTTTTGGTGCAGCACTCGTGGATTTTTTTTTTCCACAAAGACCTATTTCCAAGCATCGACACTCCAAAAATAAACACATTGTTATGTGCACTCCTTCTTGGACATCCAGGCTTCCGTAGCAGCTCTTCTCTGCTTGTATAGCAGTGCTGTCTCTCTTACTTTTATGTAACTAATCGAAGAAGTGGAAAGTGAAGCTTAATTAACCGATACCCCTTGTTTTTCCTAATAATTACGAGTGGTTTTAGTTTTATCTCTGTCAGCTGTGTTTTGGCTCTTCCAGAACGTCACGTCTAAAATATTTAAGAGTGTTCCTCTAGGATATCTGACCCGTGTAACGTTCACATTAGTTGCCAGCAACAAAAGCCTTTTCTGCATTCGGATCATCATCATTTTCATTAACATTTGGCATTAAATGCAGACTTCCACTGTCACTTGTGGCCCCTTTAATGATCCCCATGAACTTTATTGTTTTGCTTTATTTAAAAGTGGATTGATTATGCCGACTTACCCTGATAAAGAGCCCCACTGCTTATGTTAAAGATTTCCTTTGGAGCAGCTTTTGGCAACTTTTTCTTCAGCTTGTGGAATAATTCACTCGATCTGCTCCCCTCCACTCCTTTCGCCCCTTTCTTCTTCCCTTTCACATCTAAATCAGTTATGAATTTGAACTGATCCGTGATTTCCCGTAGAGTCCTGTTTATCTGGAGGTCTGGTCTGTTCTGGAAGGTTTTCTTGCACAGAGGACACTGGTAAACCTAGAGACCATGGTGGAAAGAGAGAGAATTACAAAGGGGATGAGGTTTTAAGCTGCTGCAGAAGGGAGAAATGACTGAAGGGAACAGGAACAGCCACATACTGTAGATCCATCCCAGTATCTGGTGATGCAGGCCATGCAGAAGCTGTGGCCACACGGCGTGGAGGAAGGATTTGTGAAAACGTCCAGGCATATGGAACATTGGAACTGCTCTTGAGAGAGATAACTGCCATTCAACGCCATCCTGGAAACAAAGTAAGGGTCAGTTGGATGACGATTTAAGTGTGTTTTGGTGTAGTTTATAAAACCGTCTCAGTTTGGACATTATGGGGATGAGTGGAAGTTATAACTTTACCCGGTGTTTAGTCAACTAACAGAAAACCAATTGAAACATTTGTTTGTAATTCTTTTCCCAATATTTTACAGGAAATAGTTTTGGGGAAGTCATCTTCTAGCAGGTCCAGGTGGTGGTGTACGGACCATAAGGGATAGAACATCCCATTTTACTGAGGACACTAAACATGTACTAATGGATTCATGGTCTTTAGGTCTGTTATTGTATTTGAGTCTATTGAGCATCTTCACGTTAAGTTTTACAAGCACTGGCATTTATATTAGTTTCCAACTTTTAAAATGTAATCAAGAGTTTTCCCAAAAGCGCCTCTTTTGTATTGCTATAAGCTCAAACTCCTGTTGCCATGACGAGGTGGCGGTTCGCTTGTTTAAAGGAGACGAAGTGTGACCGCGACAGAAGTTGAACCAAGAGCAGGGTGAAGTTATGGCACATTTACTTTCCTTTGTCAGTAAAAACCCATCAGATTAGGATGATCCAAACACGGCAGGAATGAAGCGAGACCAGATTCTGACCCGAGAAGTCACGTATTATTTACAGGTAACCACATGTACACAGATGTAAAAGAGTCATCCATGCTCAAAGCTCCTGGGCTGTCAACTTTTGCATTATTCCATGCGTGAGATGAGGGGGTGCTCTCTTGTGGCATCCCTATGGCGTCCGATGGCGTGGGGGTTCTTGCTTTTTCAGCGTGACAGATTAGAGGTGTGGTGTGAGAGCGTGTGAAGTTGGCAGCTTTGAATCACAGCTACATAAGTCTCAATCCTAGCACACACTACGGTTGCTTATCCAGGTATTGTTCTCAGGACATAAGAAGAAATCTCCACGAACCTGACCAAACTCATATTCATAATGGTCCTAACCATGTGTCGCTGTGTGTGCAATAATAATAAACATTCCTGTCTCTATAAACATCAAATGTATGGTAGGTACCCTCCCATCCACAGACAGAGTCATTTCCAGGTCAGAAGCGGTCAGAAGTAATGACTCGTGAGATTGGACCCAGTGGCGTGTCCAGATCTTTTAAAATGGGGTGGCCCAGGTGAGGCACAGCTTTGTGCATGGGTGGCACCAATGGTTATGCTTTTTTTGTTTCACCCCCAAGCCTTTCGTGGACAATGAAAAGCCCATTTAAAATTAAATTAGTGTGGTGGCACCTGGGGTGGCCAATCAGATTCCAAGGGTGGCATGTGCTACCCCAGGCCACTCCCTGGACGCGCCCCTGATTGGACCTTCTCTTAGTGCTGCTCACTACCACCGACTGTGTTTTAAAACCGCTGATGCAGCTCAAACATGTCTAACAAAAGTACGATTCAAAGTGTTCAACAACAAAAGCAGAACTATATTAGGCATGACAGTGAAATACCTTCAATAATGCATTCATTTGTCCTTTGAGAGGATTTAATTGTCATGTTTCTAGATTATAGCAAAAATCCATGGCAACAAGGATCAATGACATCATCAGCAAAGGCAGAGTAAACTAAATAACATTTAACACCTCGGTGCAAAAGTCTCTAGTAGTCACTGAGGTGCAGTGAACACACACTCACACACGTTTCTGCTCAGAGTGAGTGATATTTCTTTTAAATTGATTAGTAAAAACCAACAAGCTGTGGTGGCAGTGGTGGGATTAAAACCCTCCCACTGAAGGAACTGGAGAGTTATATCAGAGTGTGGCTTTGACCTGACATCAGAATAATTCTGCTGCAACTGTTAATGACACATCATCACATTAAACAGGTCCATCACGCTGAGAATCACGGGAAGCCCCCCCCCCCCCCACACACACACACACACACACCCAAAAAGGTGCTTCACAACACATCCAATTATCCATTCATGTACACACACATTCACACACTGGTGGTGATGAGCTACAGCGAGGTTACAGCTGCCCTGGGACACACTCACAGAGGTGGGGCTGCTGAACACAGACACCACCAGCACACAAAATGGGTTAAGTGTCTCGCCCAAGGACACGACTGACAGACTGAGTTGCATTCAATCCCGCAAACCCCGACACGGGCACTTCTCTGCTACCATCGTATATCAGTGCAGTCATGTTAAAGAGAAGTTTTCCTCTCCACTGTCGCTACATGTTTGCCTAGTATGGGGATTGATGTAAAGACTCTTGACACAACAAGTCAGCGACTCGATGCAACCTGCTGGGTTTTCTTAGGAAGGAAGCATAACTAATCGGCGTAATGACTTGGACTTGATGCACTGATAATAATTAGGTTCAGTTAGAATGTTTACTTTGTAAAGTGACTTGAGACAAATCTTGTTGTGATTTAGTCTTTATAAATAAACTCATTTGAATTTAATTCAACAATAAACAGTGAAAGGGCTATTTTTTGTACACGGACACTAGTTGATACCGCCCCGACCCAGAAGTTTGACCAGGGGCAGCCTAAAACGTGTATCCAATACGATGATTTACATTTGATTCAGTGGGGATAACGAGTCATCTTTCTTATCTTTTAATGCTTAGTTAAGACAGTTCATCAAAATTTACAGTTAGGAGAAAAAAGAAACATTTGTATGCGTCTGTGAAAGATTAAAGATGTTTTTGAGGATTGAAAGTTCCAGCTACCATCCTAAAATAGACCAAACATGTCCCCACAAGTACCAATTTACACCTGCAAAACTCTGGTCTATAACTTGAAAGCCACGTTGTATTTCATAGTTAAAATGTTGGTTAAACACATTTAAAAAACAATGATTTAACTCAAAAGCATCAGCTTGTTTAGATAAATATATTAAAGTGTAAAAGCTTTGATACCTGAATGTAGCAAAAGGTCCAAAAATGTACAAAGAGCTTCAAAAACTCCTCTGTTTGGTTGGGTTTAGACTGCTCAGCCTCGGGTAGCAAGTGTCTCTGTCTTACACATGTGCGCCTGTTTATAAGAGCAAAGGAGGTGATTTCATTTTCCCAAGCCACACCCACTCACCTATGTCCCCATTTTATCAGGTAAATGTGGCAGGACTGGTCTTCCACTTAAATTTTAGAACATTTGTTCTTGGAATGAATGTTGCTTCAGACAGGACAAAACCTTTCATGGAACCAAGAATTAATGAGCCATCACTTCCACTAATACTGTTAATTATATCGCAATGATGATTACCAGTAAAAATGACGCGCTCTCAGAGATTAGGTAGAAAATCATACAAGTGCGACTTGATCATCGTATCACCTGGTTTAATCCAGATTTTTGACTGAAAGGTTCCTCAGAACAGCAGCAGTCTAATGCTTGGAAATCTAAAGTAATTAAAGAGCAAATATCTCTAACGTTTCTATGGCAATGTTCCAAAATGCTTCTTAATACTACATAATATACCAATACTGTACATTATAACATGTATGCTATCCTACACATTATCACAAGACCGTATTGAATTACTTTTAGGTTCTATGACTCAAAATTATTATACCAGTAAAATTGGATGAGTTTTAGCCTTTTGTGAATTGACTAAGGTTCCTTAGATTTAGAGGCCATGTTGAATGGTCAAAACAGATTCAGTTGTAGTTGAACGTCCAATGATTCAAGTTTTATTGCAATTTATCTAGTAGTTTTTGAGATATTTTGCCAATTTGCAGACAAATACAATATAGCCCTGTTCTCCCATCCAACCACCTCCCTCCCAATCATGGTTCTTCTTTACTTCTGTAAATGCCTAGGACATTTACCTCATTCAGAGACACGCAAAACCAACCTCATGCACTCTTGATATTATCCCTACCACCGTGTTCATTAAGATGTTTGACCAAATTGGCCCCATGCATCGTAGATTTTATTAATGTATCTCTACAATCTGGCTCTGTACCATCTGTTTTTAAACATGCAGATATTGAACACATCCTTAAAAAGCCAAGTTTGGACTCATCTCAGCCTAAAAATTACAGACCCATTTCTAAATTACCCTTTATCTCTAAAATATTGAAAACAGTTGTTGTAGATCAACTATTACTTTTCTGGAAGTACACAACAGTTTTGGCAAATTCCAATCTGGTTTTTGTAAAAAGCATTCAACAGAAACAGCTTGGCTTAAAGTTTCCAGTGACATCGTGATGTCTGCAGACACAAGGAATTCACAGTGTTGGAACTGTTCTAGATTGGTTTAGATCGTACCTTTCTAACAGAAGTTACAGTGTCTGTATAAGCCAAATCATGTCAGATTCTACCCATCTATTATGTGAGGTACCCCAAGGCTCTGTTTTGGGTCCACTGTTGTTTCTACTGTACATACACCCTCTTGGACAGATAATTAATTATTTTCATAATGTCTCTAATCACTTATATGCAGATGACATTCAGCTGTACTGCTCCTGTAAGGGGTGAGTGCTGGGGTGAGTTGTAAGACTACTTGGAGATGGATGTAGCAGTTCAATTATTATGCTAAAAAGATCCACCCTAGTAAATGTACAAAAACGCTTTGATTCATGGGCTACATGAGTCCAAAATGTACAATGCTGACATCTGATCCACTCTTCCCTTGGCCGTGAGTTATCAAGGTGCTCCAAGCACAGAATGCAGAAATTTTCATCATTGTCTGACGAGTCATGTTTTACGAGTCATGTTTTGTCATCAGGAATCATCGAGTCATCAATTGTGTCATCAGGCTTAGGCCTTTTGATTCATTTTTTTTCTTCTGCAGGGACAGGGTTAGGGTAAGGGTTAACCCTAACTCACACCCCTGGCTGTTTTATGGGTCCTAGACATGATGTAAAACTGAGACCAGTGTAAAATGACAACATGGTAGGGGGTAGGTTGTGGCACCGTTTCAGATCACAACCCAACCCAACCCATGCCAGGTTACCATTAAAAAGCTAACCAACTTTAGCATTTAACTTTATATCAAATTGTGCTAGATATCAAATAAAAGAAGAGAAACTACTGCTTGAGCTTATGTCAGTCAAACAATTGTATCTATACCACAATGGACACAATGCAAAAAATATTTGTGTTGAAATTTTTTACTTTCTCACCTGAAATTAGTTTAGTTTTCAACTTAGAGACATGTGGTTTCGCAAGAGTAGTCAGTTTGCAAGTGGGCATAAACGGCACTGATGACAGCAACGTATTTGCTTCTGACCAGTTAAACGGAGAGTGTTAAAACTATCCCTGGTCTCCCCTATTCTAATGTCTCTGCACTGGTTACCCGTTAACTTTAGAGTTAATTTTAGAATCCTGACTGTAACTTTCAATGCTCTACATGGTCAAGCTCCTCCCTATATTACTGAACTGTTAAAGCCTTATGCTCCAAACCGAGCCCTCAGGTCCACACACCGGAAACTTCTAGAGGTTCCGAAGACCAGACATAAAAGTCGAGGTGATCGCTCCTTCCAGACTGTTGCACCCTGACTTTGGAATGATCTTCCTTTATCCTTACATAGCACTGACAGTTTGGAAACATTAAAAAAAAAAACAGCTAAAGACCCATTTATTTAAAGCTGCTTTTACATAAATCTTTTGTTTTCTTATTTTTAACTAAAATTTGTAATCATCTTTCATCTGTTTTATGGTATTTTATAATTTTTTGACTTTGCTGTTTTGATTTTAATTTATGTGGCAAGGTGGAGAAATGAGGGCCCGGGTGGGATTCGATCTCCAGAATGCGCGCTAACCAGTCAGCCAAAGGGACATCCCCTTGGCCAAGTAGCCAGGGCACATGATCAATCGGGACACAGTGGCAGAACGCTCGCACTGTCACAACCATTATGATTTAATGACTTTATGATTTGTTTTGTTTTGTTTTGTTTTGTTTTTGAACCATGTGTGATTCTTTGTGATTCTCTGTGTGTGGTGAGTGCTATATGAATAAAATGTACTTACTTACAGTGTAACATTAACAATTAGCTTTGCGTGACCAAGTCAAAGTGTTCTGACAATGATTAGTTAGTTGTTGTTTTATAGCACCTTATCTGCTATTACCAGGACTCTCAATGGTTACCACACCTGACGGATTGTTTCCTTCTATGCTGACGATCGTCTGTTTTATTTGACTTCCTTTTATGTGCTCTTTGTCTGTTTATGTGCTTTCATTTGTTGTTTTTGTTTCACCGCATGTGGACCAATGACATTTCTCAGGACTGGCATTCCTGTCAGCTGATGATATCATGTTTTCACAGCAAGATAAGCCAACTGTCAGACACGGTGTACCAAAATACTGTAAGCATTAATATTGTCATGAACCTTGACCTGATTTGTCAGTATTCTTCAGTTCACTAAAGAAAACAGCCTGTTGTATGAACCTTGTTGACAATGTGTTTAATTAATGCAATAAACTAACTAGTTTAATAACACTGAGTCAAGACTTGTACATTTTGGGGATTTATGAGCTGATTTTTCTACTTTTCTGCACTAAACCAATCAGCTCATAGACAAAAAAAAACATTCATGCTTTTGTAACATTTTGGACCTCAAACATTTAAAATAATCTAAGACTCATAAATATTCTGGGGCCTCGTTTGTAGAACTTTGGGTAAAATCATTGCAACAGCATTTATTAAGCTCAGCAAAACAATTTTACTTACACTAAGTCTTTTTCTGAGATAGAAAATACTGCAAACACACATCATCTACATGTATTTCCTGCTTTATAAACCACACTGTTCCTAGAAATGTGTTCAGGTGTTTCTGGATCACACCCTGCCTCCTATACACCTTCTTTCTGCCATAAATGGTCAATAAAAACTACCTTGTGAATAGTCCGCATATAAATAAGCTGGCTGATCTTCATTATTTCTTGAGTAACCATGGTAACAGAGAGGTCTCGAAAAAGCTATTTCACTGAGACTGAAATCGAGGTGCTTGTGATTGATGGAGCAGCACAGGAAACTCTCTTATTGCCTTCCAGTGGCACAGCGTTACTGCAGCGGTGAACACTGACAGTGTGGAGCTGTGGATCACGGCTGACACAAAAAAGAAAATTAAACTTTAAAATTTGGTCAGATGGAGGCAAAGAGGCAGATTGCAATAATCATTTTATTGATTTTGTGGAAGTCCACGTTAGAGTCACACTCACACCCAGGTCAGACTGTGTAGTAATGAATGTGAATGTAATTATCAGTGCCTAAAGGCCACAGCATGTTCTACCAGACATGTTCATCTTGTGTTTTTGTGCATTAATGAATTTAACTGATAGTGGGAGAAATAAATGTTTGTACCGGTACACGGTTGTGTTAGCAGAGGCAGACTCACAACTTCGTTGTGAGTTTAGTAACGTACTCAGAGGGTAAAACATGGGAGGGATCTGTCAAACTAGCTGCCTGTCTGAGGATGGTCTGCTCAAACATCTCTTGTGTTAAGGGAGTGTTTGAAACCACCATTTTCCCAGCTATCTTAATCAAATTTAAAATCCGAGCCTTAGACTTCACAATGAAATTACCGAACCAACATGCAATGCTGTCTCACATTGGTCTCAGTTGTTGCACTGAAGAAAATGGTCAACTCTGGAGACGCCAGACAAACTGAGTTTGTGGAGAAAGTGTAGACGCTGATGGGTGTGAACAGTGCTATGCCTTTCTCTTGTGCCTAGATATGTTTGACCCACAGTGGGTTGAGGGTTCAGGTGGAGTGAGTAAAGCCCATTACTCTGTTCCAGATCTAAGTGTGACACTTATTTAAACCCAAAGGGGCTTTAGGCAGGAAATGTTGTGCTTCTTCATCAAATTAAACAAATATGCCTGTCATCTAATTCCTGCAGCAGGAAACTCGAGAGTCCAACTGCAGGTGTGCCAGTGCTCTGTTGGCACATGAGTAATAGAAGCCCTGATAGTTTACACGTAATGCGGTGGCATGTCCGGCAATTAAAGCACCAATAAGGAATTTTAGGATGTAAGTATGGATGTAGCGTGATATAACTCCTAAAATCAGCATATTTTCATTCAAGTTCTCCTTCTTATTCACAGTTCAGACACTGGGCTAGGTGCTTACTGTTGGTTTTGTGTGTGTGTGTGTGTGTGTGTGTGTGTGTGTGTGTGTGTGTGTGTGTGTGTGTGTGTGTGTGTGTGTGTGTGTGTGTGTGAGCATGCACGTGCGTGCGTGTGCATGCATGCATCTGCATGCATATGTGCCAGCGTGCACATGCATGCGGGGTGTATGCACATATGCTTAAGGGTCCACAAGTCTGTAAATGTGGTTTAAATTCTCCATGTCTGCATGCTGGCTGTCAGTCTCCCGTCTCCTAAATGCTTACACTAGGGTCAGTTTGCTTAGGGTTAGGGTTATGCACATTTTCCCATCAAGTGTTTGTTTATTAATCTCAAAGTTTATTAGGAAATGACTTATGTTAGAGTCAGACCTCGTTTTGTGCATAAGCCAGCTTCATGAGTGAGGCCTGTGAAACAGAAATGAACTCATTCACCTTTTAGCTTTGATGCATTTTTAGCTGCTTTCCTCACAGATTCACAGAACATTTAACTTCAGATAAATTCCTATCACTGTAAATATGCAACTATCTGCACATCAGCCACACCAGCAGGGCTATTTCTCTTCTACATTCCACTCTGTCACTTCCACATTGTTTCACAGAAGAAACTGTTACCCAACTGCTGCTAACTGATAAACATTCCTGTGCCTACGTGTCTGGCATTAGGCTACGACAGAACCAGTTTATTCCGGAGCCTCTGAAGATCACGTTTGGGATGCTATTTTCTCTGTTTCTATTTTAAAAATGGGTCATACAACTGAACCAGACTGCACCATTTATGGGCCCCCATCAGATAGATCCGTAGGACAATGGAGCGGTACGACTGGCGTCGTACAACACCACTGACATAGACTTTATTGATCCCACAGTGAGGAAACTCAGCTGTTACAGCAGCACCTTAAGAGAATAATAGAAAGAAAAAAATAATAACAAAGGTACATGTAGAAATGCTGGCCCACGACGATCCTGAAAGTGTGAATGAACTCTGGCAATGAAGTCTCTCCTGGTTCTGACTTCACACTTAGTGCTGCTGTGACTTCTTGTCTTCTTCTGCGCATGCAGAGCGCTTTGGGGCCGTGAAACATCCACACTGGAGAGTGTTTGCTGTCGTATTTTAGTTGTAATGTGATTTTGCGTTCCACAAAAATTAGCAATCAATGATGAACAAGAGTCTGCTTCTAGACCTGCAGAAAGAGAAAAACAAACAACAAGGGACACACAACAATACAACTAGAGAAAGCTATCACTGCGTCAACCTGATGAGGAAATATAGTCAAGTCAAGTCAACTTTATTTATAAAGCACTTTTCAACAGCATAAAAGCTGACCAAAGTGCTTAATAAGCCAAAAAAAAACAGAAGTTCCCTAAAAATTCTGAAAATAAGATAAAAAGTTCATCACAAAGTAAAAACATGATAAAAACAAACATATCAAACTGACATAAAAGCCACTAAAAACAGATGCATTCTCAAACTGAATTAAAAGCAACTGAGAACAGATGAGTCTTCAAAAGTGATTTAAAACCCAACAGTGACGAAACCATCCTAATCTGAATTGGGAGTGCATTCCACAACCTTGGAGCTGCTGCTAAGCTTTCTCTTTGTTCTCGGCACCTCCAGGAAAAACTGGCAGGCGGATCCTCCTTGAATCATAAAAACTAGCTTTGGTGACGGCACTGATTTGCTTTTCCAGAAGCAGATCACTGTCAAGCCGGACTCCCAGACTGGTCACTACAGGTTTCAAAAATAGGGCTAGTGGACCAAGGTCAGCAGAACATGGCCCACTGGACACACTAGGACTAAAAAGCATGACCTCAGTCTTGTTATTATTAAAATGTAAAAAATTTGCAGACCTCCAGGTTTTAACCTCGTCGAGGCAGTTTAGAAGAGGATCTAAAGAATGGGGTAGGCCACGTTTAATGGGAATATAAACCTGGGTGTCGTCTGCATATAGATGAAAAGAACATCCATGTTTCGTAAAAATAGAACCCAAATCAACATTGCTTTGCTGAACATCACAAGATAATAAATCACTGTGCATTTAGTGCCAACCACTGCCTTCAGCATTATTCTTTCAAAACACATTTTAAAGGAGACTAATGAGTTAGGAAACAATCAGCCACATTCTCATGCCTAGGGACAGTAAGGAGTCTCTGACAATCCTAACATGCATGTTTTCAGTCTGTGGGAGGAAACCCAGAGAAAACCCACACATGCATGAGGAGAACATACTGACTCCTCTCAGAAAGACTGCTGCTGGGATTCAAACCTGCACTCTTCTCAATGTGAGGTAAACGTGCTACCTACTGCACCACTATAAAATATGACAAATTATTCAAAAATGACCAAAAACTCAAACTTTCTCGGTGCATCAATTCTAACTTCAGACCAGGTTGATTGTTTCTGTTCCTCTTTACTAAACTTAAGAACTTCGTGTCTGCATGGTATTTTTATTTATTTATTTTTTCATTGCAGAAATTTTACACCATTAAAATGTTTTCATTGTAGATAAGATAAATTGTGAAATATGAGCGCTGGACTTCCTTTTCACATCAAAACCACAAATGATGCCACAAAAAACCTTCTAAATGTTCCTTTTCCTTCCTCTTTCTAGGCATTCAAAGTCTTTCCCCTTTCATCTGGCTGACCCCGAACCCTCTAAAAGAGTCAATCCTAGAGAGGGACAGCATTCGTAGCCACCAATGCAGAAAAATTGAGCGCTTGTGGAAGAAAACCTGCTCCACGTCCATCTGCTGCATCTAAAGGATCTTCCAACCTCCTTTAACTCTGCAGTCAGAGACGCGAGGGTTGCCTATTTCTCCAACCTGGTGTCCCAGAGCAAAGGGAACCCCAAGGTGCTGTTTAACACCATCAGCAGCATCGTCTCTCCTGCCACTCCTACAGCCTCCATCCACTCTGTTGCAGACTGTGAGAAGTGGACAAAGTCAATAAGGTTAGATCTAGCATTTCTCCCTCAGCCTTATCGCTGCCTCTCCCGAGTCCAACCCAGCCCGTAATCCTAGATAGCTTTGCTCCTGTTTCTTTGCCTGAGCTAATTAACTCCATGAAGACCTCTGCATGCCCCCTCCATATCGTTGTTTAAAAGTGCTTTTCAGTCCATCGGTCCCAGCGTGCTCTCTATAATTAAGGCGTCTCTGGTCTCTGGTCAGGTCCCTGCTTACTTTAAGAACGCTGTAATCCACCCGCTTCTTAAAAAAACGAGTCTCGACCCCTCTCTCCATAGCAGCTTCAGACCCATCTCTAAACTTCCGTTCGTCTCCAAGATCTTGGAAAAGGTTGTGGCTAAACAATTCACAGCTGCTCTTGATGAACATAACATCTATGATAGCTTCCAGTCAGGTTTTCGTAGAGCTCATTCTACTGAAACAGCTCTTCTTAGGGTCTCTGATGACCTTCTGACCCACAGGGGACTGTTCTGTTCTGGTCCTGCTGGACCTGACTGGAGCCTCTGACACTGTTGACCATCACCTGCTACTGGAGAGGCTGAGAGACTGAGTAGGCCTATCAGGAACTGCTCTGGAGTGGTTCTCCTCCTATCTGTCTGAGTGTTACTTCTCTGTGGTCGTCTCCAAGTTTCGGTCCTCCACCACATCCCTTACCCATGGTGTCCCACAAGGTTCTGTGCTGGGGCCTCTGCTCTTCCTCCACGTTCTGCTTCCTCTTCAGCACATCTGAGCTCCTTTAAAGGAGTCTCCTACCATCTTTACGCGGATGACATCCAACTGTACATCTCCTTTAAGCCCCACAAGATGTCGCCTAGACTTCTGCAACTCTCTTTTCACTTGTCTGAGCAAAACTTTCCTGAACCATCTACAGGTGGTTCAAAATGCCTGTGCTCAGCTTCTGACCAAGTCCTCCACACCAACACATTCTCACACCCTAAGTGTCAAAAAAGGACACGGTGTGACCAAGCGTTTGTTTCCGATGCATAGGGAGCCCCTACGCATCGGGAGGCGACGCGCTGTGCAAGAGCATAGGTATCTGACGCCCCGCGGCATCATCTGTCTTATGAAACACACATCTGAATTTAAAGCAAGGTGTGTTTATGGTAATTCATTAATTCCTTTGGACCACGGAGTTATGCAGGGTCCATCAGCCTTCACATGCATGAGGAGAAGGCTCTCTAACCAAACAGACATGATAATGGATGAGTGTAATGAAGTAAACATGTGACTGATGATAAATATGACCTAATGATGTGGAGTAAACAGCATAAACCCCCTTATGAGGGTTTTCACAGTAGATAAGATAGCTAGCACCAAAGGCACGGACGCTGGACTTCCTTTTTAGATCAAAACCACTGATGATGCTACAAAAACATCTTATACATGTTCCCCTTTCTTCAGCTTTATAGGCAACACACACTTTCTACGTCCCTTGAGTTTGCTGATCTTCATCATCTCCACCATGAAGTCTCTGACCTTTCTTATTTCTGCCCTGCTTGTTCTGGGGAGCGCTGATGGTGAGTCTTAGCTTCGGTTATAAACATCTGTTTTACGACCCTGTTATGATGACAAGTCACGGAGGCTCCAGATGCAGGCGGGCATCTCAGACATCCCGGTCTCCAGCGACACGCTCCAGCTCTACCAGGAACTAGAGCTGAGTGGTAAAGCAATAGAGACTTGTGCTTCGTAATATTTTTTTCTTGGTAAACATGTAAGAAAGAAGAAAAGACAGAAGAAAAAGCTAATAACATTGAAGTCCAACCTGTCTGTTTTACCACCTAAACCAGTGGCACCCGCTGGAGCACACCAACTGTAATGATCAATAATCCGTTTTATCATTTTATATTTATTTTTTATTACTTATTCCTAAAACAAGCGACATTTAAAACAAACAGAGATGTTTTGATCATTTCAAAACTCCTTTTATGTTTATTTATTTGACACCAGCAGAAAAATGTCTCTATTTTTGTTCTATTCTCATGTTACGCTTTAAGATTTTAGTTTAAAATAAACCTCTTTCATTCATCCAAAGCACTGATATGATGTTTGATGACATGTTAAGTATAAAATAACCCTCTCGTGTCTTCAAATCTCAATGAAATGTGAAACTACAGCAAGTTTTTCCACATCACCAAGTTCTGGAACACAAAAGCAAGGCTCCTTGTAACTTGGTCAAATAATCAAATAAACTTAAGCAACTTCTCATACTTCGGTTAACAATAAGAAATGATAGTTTTGTTATTGTAAAAGTAATTTCTGATTCTGCCTCAGGTCTTTCGTGCCATCATGGCTGGACTCCGTACGGGAGCCGCTGCTTCCTGTATGTACCAGCAAGGCTGTCCTGGGCCAGCGCCGAGGTGAACCGCTGCCCAGATTCATGCAGCTAATAAAAACACGTTTGTTTAGTTTTGACTCATTCTGCTCCATCTCCTCTGTAGAAATTCTGCCTGAGCATGAAAGCCAACCTTGCATCGGTGCACAGCTACTCTGAGCACCTGGCCATCCAGAGGATGATAACAAACGTCGCACACGCTAATTTCCCTGCCTGGCTCGGAGGATCAGACTGCCAGCGTGTGAGTTATTCATCCAGTCATTTAGGATTTGTTATCATTTGCACACTAACCAACCATGTGGCACGTTTTAGGAGGGAACCTGGCTGTGGAGTGATGGAACAAGCTTCAACTATCGATACGATGGAGTGTTTAACAACGCTGGAGGGAATCAGCACTGTCTGCAAATGAATTTTGGATGTGAGTCATTTTAAAACTCATACCTGCATGGGTTAAGTTATACAAATGGGTTTTTTCTTTAAACTTCAGTGAAAAGCAAACTTTATTTTTTCTGACTGATGTTTGTGTTGCACACAGCTGCCAACATCTGGAATGATCTGCAGTGTTCCCATACACTTCCATTTGTGTGCGCCAAAAAGCGTCGCACATACGGCTGAGTTACGACATCTGTCATCAACACGACAACTCTGGGAGCGTGAATGTGCTTTTTACAGCTGATACGTAACTTCGCATCCTAATGAGCAGAATATTTCACACACTGAATGTGTGTGTTATGATAAACCTCCTTTTTAATCTACACTTTAATGCTTTTGCAACTAAGATGCTTTTTTTTTCTCGCATGAAGCTTTAATAAAACGATCAGCATTGAACTGGAGTCTGCTGAAATCATCAATACCCATGGGTTTGATGGGAGGAAAGAGAAATACGTCATTGAAAGTTCAACATGTTAAAGTTTTAACTAAAATATGTCAGAATTACTCTCAATGTTTAACAATTTAGGTAAAACAGAAAGTTTTTATGTAAGTTGTGTTTTGTTTAGTGATGTCATGCCTGAACTTTAGCTGTACAACTACTAATACAAAAACAGGTAGATACTCACTTTTCACAACGTTGTTGTGAGCCTGTGTGTGTTTTTGTTAGCGGCTCCACCCTCTCGGTCTACCAGGCAACAGCACTTGTTGCGGTTTCAAACAGGAAGTTGGAGTGGTGTGAAGCCTGGGACACACTGAAGAGAGACGCGCCCCGTTGCGCCGCACCGTAGTTTTAGACACAAAAACTACGGTACTATTTATGTGTATAGTATATTATATTATAAGAGATTAACTAGAGAAAACTGACTCACACTAGGAAAAGCTCCAACAACGGAATAGAGCGGCAGAAGGGGAGTTAAAGCTAAAGACCTGAAGCAGAAGGAAACAGAGAGAGGGGAAGGACATGGAAGGGACTGGGGGACTAGGCCTTGAGGTGGTGATAGTTCTCCTGCAGGACTAACAGAGCGTGTTTGTGACCATCAACACGTTTTACCACTTTGGTGATGGGGAGCACATGTGGAAGCACGTCCAAGGATCAGGTGCCTGTACACTATCTTTGACACACATGCATACATGTTGCACCTTTATGTGCCTCCTTAATTAAACACTGACCCAAGAGAAACCTGGCCCTTGCTGCCGGTTCCCTCTGACCACTTCTGAGGGGGTGGAGCTTCATCTCCACCACCAAGTGTCTGACCCTTCTGGTTTTTGATCGTTCTGCGGAGCGCTGATGGTGAGTTTCAGCTTCTCATGTTGCTTATCTGAAGCCTAGTCCACACGTAGCCGGGGTTTTTTAAAAACGAATATCCGCCCCTCCAAAAACTTGCATCCATGCCACCTCGTTTTAAAAGAAAACTGTCCACATGTACCCGGATAAATACGTTGTTAAGGACATGCCAGACCTGTAGGCGGCAGTACTTCCCCCTTTCTTAACCTCGTCCTTCGTCTGTGGTCTTCCGCAAGGAGCAGTAATTCCGCTTGCAAAAACAAACAAGCAAAAAGCGCTTGGACAATTGATGAAGCGAGCGCAGCTCTGAGGGCATCCATGATGCCGGATAGTGTAAACACAGGTCGCACACGTGATGTCAGCATTTTTAGTTGCGGAAAGTGACGTTGCGGACCTTAAAACTCCGGTTTTGTCTGTCCACACGCAGACACCCAAAACGGAGAAAACGCAGATCTTCACTTTGGCCGGAGTTTTTAAAAAGATCCGTTTTCATGTGAAAAAACTCCGTTTTCGTGTGGATGACAGGCCAAAACGTAGGAAAATATCCACGTTTTGGCAGATCCCCGGCTACGTGTGGACAGGGCCTGAGTCTCCTCGGTGACACACCCCAGCTCCACCTGGAACTAGAGCTGGGTGATTAAACGAAAGCAGCATACATGCCTGAATAATTCAACCTCTTTAGACATGGAGAACGGGTTAATATTCACAAATAAATGATGAATAGCCTCTACAATGCATCAACGGGGCCAAGCCAACAGCACAGTAGCAGCTGAATGACATCATGTCTGATGCTTGTGAAGCTGTCGCGTCTCACCTCAGGTAACAGGTAGGACAGCAGAAATGAGAGCCGACAGATAAGATAAGAAAGGCCCAAACTGTTTGGTCGTGTAAGCAAGTGTTGGCAAGGTAGCATCAAACAAAGCAAAGTAAGGTACATGATGTCAGACCTGTGTGTGTCAGGATCCACCTGAACCATCTGCTGGAGCACGCTGATCAGAAAACACGTTCTGGTTTGGACCTGAGGCTTCTCTCAGAGCTGGGGTCTGAAACCCGTGGCTCTGGAGCCACATCCGTGTAACTTTGACCCAAAGGAAATGACGCCGCAGCTCCTTTCCCACCAGTGAGGCGTGTAAAAGGAAGAAACTTGAAACGTAAAGTTCCTCAGGTGTTCTAAGTTGTAGCTGCCTGTCCTCCCGGCTGGACTCGGTCCAAGGCTCGCTGTTTCCTCCATGTGCGTTCAGGCTGACATGGGGAAACACCGAGATGAACTACCATCCTGATTCATGCTTCTAATAAACACATTATTTTTACTGATTCTGCTTCATCTAAATGACAGAGGTCGTGTCTGAGAAGAGGTGCACACCTTGCCTCTGTGCACAGCCTCACTGAGCATGTAGCGATCCAGAGGATGATCGTAAGGGTCTTTCGGGCCCCAGCCTGGCTCAGAGGAACACACGGGAAACGTGTGAGTTATTTGTGCAATCATGAAAATGCTGCTTTTGTTTTTGTTTAACATGAAATAACCATGTGGTGTGTTTTAGAGCTGGCATTGGAGTGATGGGACGCGCGCCAACTATCGACGCAAGGGACGCTTGAACAAGGCTGGAAGGAATCGGCGCTGCCTGCACATGAATCCTGGAGGTAAGTCACACATGGAATGATTTAAAACATAACACCTAATGAGTTTCCTTTCTTTAAGTGAAAAACAGTCATGTAACTTATCTGACTGATGTCACGTTTAGTGTAGGAGGTTGGAGCCAATATGCAGAAATCCCCAGAACGACTCGAGGCAGGAGAGGTTTTAAAGAAAATAATTCCTTTAATAAGGAGGATGTGCAAAAATCCACGATACAAGACTATAACTGAAAACTCAAAGACAAACAAAGGCTCACACATGAGCACAAACTCGGGAAACTCAAGAGGGGACCGAACAACGCAGACATACGACAACGAACCAACAACCACTGAGAGACAAGACAGGGCTTTTAAACACACAGAGGGAAGCAATCAGGGAAACGAGTGACAGGTGTGAGGAGTGAGGTGTGGAGGGAGGACAGGTGAAATCAATTAACTAAATGGGAAGGGGAAAACCAAGCAGAGAGGAAGATAAACATAACCTATGAAACACTAAATAACTACACCTAGAAACTGAGGGCAGAGATAAACAACTAATAACTAGAGGGGTGAGGAGGACTACAGTGACCCCTCGTTTATCGCGGTAGATGTGTTCCAGACCTGGCCGCGATAGGTGAAAATCCGCAAAGTAGGGACACCATATTTACAGTACAGTACTATATTGAATTATCGTATGATCACATTCTCTTTTTGTGGGTAAAACTCAAGAAAAAAAAACTTTTACTTGGTTTTTTTATAGTTTTATTACAAAAAGTGCATTTTATGATGAAATTGATTAAAAAACAGGAATTTCTTGATATTTCGCATAGAAAACTAACGCGAATCGGTGAAAAATAACGCGAATCGGTGAAAAAAACGCGAATCGGCGAAAAATAACGCAAATCGGTGAAAAATAACGCGAATCGGCGAATTTCCCTTGAATAAGGCTCCAAAGAAAAAATCCGCGAAGTCGTGAATCCGCGATAAACGAAAAGCGAAGTAGCAAGGGATCACTGTAATGCCAACAATGGAAAATACAAGGGAGTGACCAGGAGGAAAACATGAGGGAAGCCTAGAGGGAGCTGGGGAACACCAGAAGACACAAGAGGAGAACCTGTACGGCAAGCCGAAACCTGAGGAAGAACGGGAGGGGGCTGGGGACCAAGGGGACACAGAACGTGACAACTGATGCATTTGTTACACACAGCTGCCAAAGTCTGGAAGGTTGTGAGGTGTTCCCATCCACTTCCATTCGTCTGCGCCAAAAAGAGCCGTAGAAATGGCTGAACAGCAGCATGAGTCATCAGCAGAATCGTGCATCATGCTTTTGCTCAAGCTGCTTTAACTTTGACAGAATAATAAAGAAATGGACAAATAAGAGGAAGAAGATTGTTCTTGTGGGTGAGCAACAATGTCCATGCATTGCATGAGAGTTAGTGCACGCCCTGGCAAAGATTACTTCAACACCTGGAGCTCAGCCTGTGAGCCATCGTGGTAAACTACAGCCCACATCTGGCTCTGCACTATTACTGACATCCAGCATGAGGGAACGCTGGCATCACACGTTTATTAGGAGAAGCGCCTACAACTGAAACGTATCACTTTGTCGCATCAGTAATGAAAAATGTTGAACGTTGTCACAAGAAAGAGATTCTCTTAAATGGTAAATGGACTGAGTTTGATATAGCCCCTTCTAGGGTTCTACAACCCCCCAAGGTGCTTTACAACACATCCAGTCATTCAGCACTTCACACACACATTCACTCGCTGGTGATGATGAGCTACGTTGTAGCCACAGCTGCCCTGGGGTGCACTGTTCAACTAAACTTTGTATTCAAGGTATGTTTTAACACACACCGGTAGCTGCTCACTTACTGAAAGTCAAAGATGAGCATTTATTGAATTTATTGCAAGTCGACCACAGAGACAGAACTCAGAAAAAAGAGGTTTTATTCAATTCAAGTTTTTCAATTCAAGTTTATTTATATAGCGCCAAATCACGACAAGAGTCGTCTCAAGGCACTTCACATAATAAACATTCCAATTCACAGTTCATTAAGCCAATTATTTGGTGTTCTTGGTGGGAGGTTAGTTACAATCATCTCAATGATACATTTTCTATTTCAAATCTCACTTACACCACAAATCTGAAGCACAAAAGAAAAGAAAAAAAAGATGTGGATCTTCAGCTCACACTTCCCCCAAAGCCTTTTTCTGTCTCAAGTTCTTCTTCTGAACCTTTGCATACTTGTTGCTGATGCTGCTGGCTCTCCTCATGAGGTAGACCACCTCGGCCGCTTCGTCGGACAGAACATGCTGGAAGACAAGGAGATGTGAATGTGAGCATTTTCAGTTTTTCAACAGTAAACAGCAACATCACATACTTTTAACTTTTAAGATACAAATAAAAAACTGACCATAAAATACCACAAGGTGGTGCTGTTGATGTCAGAACTTATTAAACCGCAACAACAGATGAACTGTATATGGCATGCCATTGTAACATGTAATCAAACCAAACACACACACACACACACACACACACACCAGTAATCATCCTCAGGTCAAAATGACATTTTGTAAATCAGAACTCAATCAGAACCTCTAAAATAAAATCAAGTTACTGAAATACTTCAAGGTTAAGACAAAAGTATCAGCTGGACTTGATTATGTACATCAGATATATAATACCAGAATATAATATAATGTGGGCTGCATTGTGGCGCAGTAGTTAGCACTGTTGCCTCGCAGCAAGAAGGTTGCAGGTTCGAAACTCGGCTGTGGCGTTTCTGCAAGGAGTAGCGTGTTCTCCCCATGCATGCGTGGGTTTCCTCTGGGTACTCCGGTTTCCCCTACAGATCACAACATGCCCTGTAGATTCACAATTGTACGTTGCTTTGGATAAAAGTGTCTGCCAAATACATGAACAAAATATAATATAATATAATATAACATAATAATATAATGGAATATAATATAATAAAATATAATATAACGTAATATAATATAATAAAATATAATATAATGTAATATAATATAATATAATGTAATATAATATAATAAAATATAATATAACATAATATAATATAATAAAATATAATGTAATGTAATATAATATAATGTAGTATAATATAATGTAATAAAATATAATATAATGTAATATAATATAATAAAATATAATATAACATAATATAATATAATAAAATATAATGTAATGTAATATAATATAATGTAGTATAATATAATGTAATCAAATATAATATAATGTAATATAATATAATAAAATATACTATAATGTAATATAATATAATAAAACATAATATAATGTAATATAATATAATGTAGTATAATATAATGTAATATGATATAATATAATGTAGTATAATATAATGTAATATAATATAATATAATGTAATATAATGTAAATGGCCTGTATTTGATATAGTGCCTTCTAGAGTCCTGGAACCCCCCAAGGTGCTTTACAACACAATCAGTCATTCACCCATTCACACACACATTCACACACTGGTGGTGATGAGCTATGATGGAGCCATGGCTGCCCTGGGGCGCAATGACAGAGGTGAGGCTGTCGAGCACTGGCGCCACCGGTCCCTCTGACCACCACCAGCAGGCAACGTGGGTTAAGTGTCTTGCCCAAGGACACAACGACAGCGACAGACTGAGCGGGGCTCGAACCTGCAACCTTCCGATTACGGGGCGAGCGCTTAACTCCTGTGCCACCGTCGCCCCAATGTCATATATGTAATATAACATAATATAATACAAAGTAATATAATGTCATATAATATAATATAATATAATATAATATAATATAATATAATATAATATAATATAATATAATATAATATAATATAATATAATATAATATAATAAATCATAATATTTGATTAGTTTTTTTGTTTTTCTTAAATGCTCACAATTAGATTACAACAGTTTGGATTTTTTAAGGTCTTTGGTACCTAAAATTTAAACAATGACACAAAACAAGACACTTTTAGTATTCTGACAAGTTTGAAATAAATCTTTTCCACATTTTCCCCATGTTCTCAAACATCTGGAGCTGTTTGATCTGGGGTTAAAAAGACATCAACAATTCTTCTAATTATACATTTCTTCCATAACAGGACAGGAAATTTATCCTTAGATGCAAATTTACTGAGGAGAGGGTAAATGTGTTAACGCCTAAATAAAATCAAAGACAATATAATTTCAAACTGTTAGCTTGTTGGAAACTGAAATGGCTTTAATAACTGATTTCTGTAATGAATTAAACACACACTTACCTGAGAGCCTGTTGTGATGTCATCACAGATGGTCGTCATGGTTTCCATCCAGTTTCCATAGATGTTCTCTTGCTTTTGAATAGGCCTTAGTTTACTGGATCACAGAAAGACACAGACACCAATCAGCACACACACACACACACACACACACACACACACACACACACACACACACACACACACACACACACACACACACACACACACACAAGCTTCAAACAGCACAGCTTTTTGTGAATCAGACGATTTGGTATTGCAACAACAGCTGAATGCTGTTTGTTTGACAGCGAAAGATTGAAGCACAAATAACAATTTGAATAAAGACTGTGAATGATACTGAGATGCAAAAGCTAGAATTTTACTAGCAACAGAAGCACAATCCTTTGGACATTTTGGGTCGGTGTGTCAGAACTATCTAAAGAACATATCTGATGCTTCCTATGGTTCTTCAGCATTCCCCAGAATGATCAAGACAAAGGCTATTCCAGCAGGAACTGTTTACTTTCACTAAGAACAGTCAAACTGGAAATAAACAAAAATAAACTAACTAATTCTTCAAGCAGTTCCAGCAAACCTATGACTCCAGTCTGCAGTCGACCAATGAAAATACACCCAGGCAGCGACGAGAGCACATTGTGAGAGTAGCATTAGCAACATCAGAAAGGGTCAAGGTCAAACGCAGGAACATGCTGACCTTCCTTTTGGAGTTCGGTTCCGAGTCTAACAAAAGAAGTGTTAACTGTGGCTCTTGATCTATTTTCATCATTGTCTTGGGTATCTGTAGGCTATGATGTGTGCATGTTGCGTTGGCGTGTCTTGCTAAAGCAGGATGTCATGCAGTTTGGTACACTGAAATCTAGGTCCTTACAGTGTCCACCTCTCTAGAGTCCTCATAGTGGGACATGAAGCTTTGAGACAGTCGATAAAGCAGAGTGTACCAGACTTTAGACGATGTGTTTGCTAACATTATGGGCCACTCGGTCTTGTGTTTAGAATGAGCTGCATGTGCATGTAAATGCGCAGTAAGCTTAATGAAAAGTTTCAGGGACTCGTACCTGACTTGTTTCAGCAGGTCTTGTTGTGCCTGCAGTTGATTCTGTGCTTCCTGTACTCGACCTTCCATGGTTAAACTGGCACAGAGCTGAGCACAGTGAGCATCAAGCACCGCCATGTTGAGTTTTCCCACAAGAATACGACTTTGCCCAGGACAGACAAAAAGAACAGATGGTTAGGGTCAGTGTGAACACAGAGTCAGTAGCTGAGGTTTAACAGGAGCCATAGTGGTGAGACACTCGCCACTGACACGCCTAGTGTCACCAACAAAATCTCTTCACCTGGTGGTAGTCACAGGTCGCTGTTCAGTGAGGACACGAGTGACTCTTTGCTGATCTCTGGTCTTGAAGTTCAGCTGCAGTTGAAATGGAAGTGTGTTCTTCTGGAGGAAAACTGAAACATTTGTTCAGTAGCGTCTCCAATTAAGACACGTTCACACGAAAAGATAACCTAAACAGTCTTAATGATGGGCCTGATTACCATCACGGTTCTAAAGATTATCTTATCAGGTACTTCTGCCGTGTGTGGTGTGTTAAGAGTGCTCTGTCTGTTCAGAAGGACATCAGCACTGCTCCAGTCAAAACTCAAACGTATTGGGTTGCCTTAACACAATATCACACTGGTGTCATGGTCTGAGTATGCGTCTCCCCTCATGTGTCTCCTTATGTTCTCCATCCCTCTCTAGGTTCTCCTTTTGTGTCTCCTAGTGCCCTCATGTGTCCTTGTCTGCGTCTTCCTTTTGTGTCTCCTGGTGTTCCCCATTTGCCCCCAGATCTTCAGCCCTTTAGGTTTCCCTCCTCAGGCATCCCCCTCCCAGGTCCTGTGCTCCCTTGGCCCCCTTTTAGTCACGCCCCTGTAGTTTTTCTTTCTGTAGTGTTTTCCTCTAGTTTCAGCTTCCCCCCTTAGAATATTAGTTATGTTTTCTGCCCTTCAGGTCTTTAGTTTTTTTCTCTTAGGTAATTTTTCTTTAGTTACAGCTGTTCATGTTATTAGACTCTTTAGTGTGTTTTTTTCCACTGGTGTTTGTGGTTTTTCTCCCCTCCCTTAGATTATTAGTTATGTTTCCTGCTCTTTTTGTCTTTAGGTTTTATTCTTAGGTCATGTTTGTTCCCTCACTGATTAGTAATTGAGTTCACCTGGTCTCTCTCTCCCCACACACCTGCAGTTCATCTCCCTCTCATCCTCCCCAGTGTATATAACCCTGTCTGTGTCTCTGAGTGTTTGTCGGTCCATTGTTTCTGTCATACTCGTCTCGATTGCTCTCCAGTGTTTCCTGTGCTTCTAGTGTTTCTAGCTTCTAGTGTGTTTTGGATTTCTGACTTAGTCATTTTGGATTTTTGGTTTTTGGCTCCCTGCCTTTTGGATTATCCCTAAAATAAAGGATTTTATTTCATCTTCCACCCCTGCCTCATGTTTTGAAAATTATCCAACACTTTTTTAATCCTGCCGTGTGAACTGGGCCGTAGTCAGCAGGTATTTGTTTTATTGACAAAATAATTTCTGTTTGACTCCAGCGATGAGATCAAGTTCCATAAAACAGGATATATTAAACTCACCTTCTATAACATCTGGCTTCACGGCGAACTGGAAGGTGATCTCCAGGCCTCTTGTTACGTTTCCTATTTCTCTCACCAGCTTGTTGCTTTCAGTTGCATACGGAAAATACCTGCAAAGGAAAACCACGTTTAAAACCGTGCGTTAAAAACAATTATTAGACAATAAAAAGTAATGGTGGATGACACCAATAAAGTTTAATCATATGAAAATGATTAGATAAATAGAATACACGACCACTTTACCTTCTGGTGGTCAGAATGGTTTGTTTTACTGATGTTATGTAAAGATTCAACGTTCTCGATAAAACATATTTGAGATTCATCACTCACACTCCATCAGGAGCTAGCAGCGTAGCCTTGACGCTTGTTGCTAGGACATTGTCCATAGAGATGGACTGGATCTCTGTCGCCATGGTACCCAGGCTGACGATGTTCACCTGAGCAGGGAAGGAATGAAACTAAGTTTTATAAATCTGTACAGATGTTCTCCCTGTTTCTATTGAATAATTCATTTCTGTGTCATGTTTATGTTTTTATGCTAATCGACAACAACGAGAAAGCTGAAGTCTACATAAATCCTACCCTTCCTCCAGTGGCATCAGCCAGCCTCCCGATGTCTGCCAAGCAACAATCTGTTCCTTTAAAAGTCATCACTGATATTATGACCCTGAAAAAGAATCGCTTAGTCATCATTGTTTGAGTTTTTCATTGATCATAAAGCTGAACGCGTGTCGTCACCCTTTCTCCACGGCCTGCAGAGCCAGCTGCCTGTAGAAGAATGGAGTCTGAGCAGGTGAGGAGGGGTGGGGGGGCTGCTCCAAGTCACCCAGTCCGATGTTGGCTCTGCCATCAGTGCACAACACGACCTACAACACACACAGCCACTGATCGTTAAGTCTGACTGTGTACGGGTTGTGACAAAGGGTCAGCTGGATCTCAGCTCTCCACAAACTTTGAGCTGATTATAAAACACAAATGCAGTTATAATAAGGTTATAATACGTTTATAATAAGGTTATAACAGTTAGAAGTTTATTTGGCAGAGATAAATAAGAAGTTGCCTGTCAAACATAACAAACTTATTGACACTGAGTGAAAAAAAAAAACAACTCCAAGCTGCCATCTAAAATCCACTGGTTCTCATTTTGAGGTTTGACTTCCTGCTGGTTGCCTAGCAACTTCACAGTAGCAAAAAGCATTGATTTTGTCATACAAATCTTGGAAAGACAGAACCTAACACATCTATTAAGATGTTGGACTGTTGCTCTAAAGTCCTCTCTCACCTTTGACCCGGGGTACCTGGACGCCATAGCAACAGCGGCTAACGCCGCCGAGCCGAGAGCTGTAGCTCCGTGTTCCATGAGCCTGGAAGGGCCAGATTTCTCTTATTTTAACAAAGTATAAGAGGAACAAAATACTAGGATGACATAAATAAAAGCAGCACAGAGCGCCGCAGGGAAAGCCGTACTCTTTGACTCTCTGGATCAGATGGTGGTGTGTCTCAGCGATGCAGTGAGGGATCCTGTAAGCCGTCGCTTGTTGCCAGATGTGATCGTAGTCCAGCAGCGCCCAGTCCCTGAGGGTCAGAGGAGTACGAGTACCATCACCGTATATCACAACCTGTGCAGCAGGGGAAAGGAAAAGCAATAACAGATTTCATTTTTAATGTTTCAATCAAAAACATGAATTAATATACAAACTTTAACTGTCCTGACAGTAGATTTAAATAAAGAGCTGTTGCTCGGAGCATCATAGCTGAGCAGGTTAGCCATCTGACCGGTAGCTACTAAGAATAGGTGTTTTAAGTAACATAGGGCAACAATAAAACCAATTTAAATAAGCTCAATATTAGGGTAATAATAATAATGCACTGTAAAGATGTTTAATGTTGTGTTAAAATTGTTTTTGCATATTTATGAAAGGTTGTTTAGATTGCTTTGTGTTGTTGTTATTTTTCAGTTAAATCCAGCTCTACAACAGGGAGCAAGGACTTTAACATGCTCTACCTCTGACCCACTGGTTAAAAGCTTAACCCAAACTGGTTCCATAGAAAATGCAGCATTACCATTTGTGTGTAATGAATGTGGAAACACCCAAACAATGAAGGAATATTCTCATTTCTTTGTCTGTTTATGATTAAACATGTATTGAAATCTTGATATCTCTGTGAAAAGTTGAAATTGCTGAAAATTGACAGAATAAAACTTTGAATAATACTGTGGACGCTTTTGGCTCTGACACTGGAAACATACCTACAGTTAGATGAACGCTGGCAGGCTAATAAACCAGCATTTCATTAGTATTTAAACTTCTTCACTCCCTATAATTTGAGCAAGAGGTCACTTCATCATATATTTAACATCATATGTTTATAAAATAGGTAAAATGACTTTAAAATGATTGCCTTACCTCATCATTAAAGGTGACGAGGGCCACCCTCCTGTGGGGGGTATGCTGCAGCATGGAGGTGAGTGTTTTCTGAAGAGCATCCTGGATACCCTGTAGGAACAGAACAATCATCTAAACATCTCACGGACTTTAGTTCTGGTATTTCCAATCAGAACCGAGCAGCACCTCACCTCTAACCTGGATATGTGGACAGAAGCTCCGCTCTCGGGTGTGACCTGAAGAGATAAAACACATGAAACTGGGACCTTGTTGTGGTGCGGGGACAACTACATAGAGACATGTGGCCAGGAAAGAGCTTTGGCTATAATTTATAGTGATTAGAACAAAAATAAAATTTCAGTTTGTGGAATTTCATATTGCAAACATGTTACATAACTTGTAATGTTTTAATTAGTCTAACTGTTCAAGGCAAAAGCCTGCTCTAACCGAACGAAGTATTAAACAGCTAAAGAATGTGAATGCATCAGTCGTTTTAGATTAAACCTTTATCATGGCTTTCAGATTTGTAGCTTAGCTTTAACCGACGGTTTCTCATGCACGCCTGACTCACTGTGTTATTATCTGATATAAAGCCTCAACAGCAGATTTTATCACCTATTCTGAGACATTTTGTCCAGACTTAAAAAATGCAAATCTTAAAATTGTCCCTGAACATGGTTTTGTGTTTACAATTGGAAACTGTTCTTTGATCCTTTACATAACAATTTAAATTTTGTTGGGGCTCAAAATGGCTCAGGAGCCCTGAAACACAATCCTATTATAAATCCCTTAAATGGAACGAATCAGGAAGTGAGTGTCCTGCCTGCCGATGTTGGGAGGACACTTTTAAAGCCTAAATATTCCCAGTACATGCTGGAATGTTTCACGTGTGTTCTAAATTTCCTCTTGATGTTTTCTCTTGTTCAACAAGAACATTTGCAGTTGCTCATGCTAGCATTAGCCATAGCCCGAGCTAACATTAGAAGTAACTCGGGGTAACTTTAGCAGTAGATAGCATTAGCAGTGGTTAAAGTTAGCATTAGGAGTAGCTCGAGCATTCATTAGCTGTGGCTCTGCATTAACAGTTGCTTGAGCTAGTATAAGCAGTGGCTGGGGCAAGCTAGCAAAAGGCTAATTTGTTCTGTGGTTAGCATTACCAGGATCAACATTTACATTGAAGTGGGTTGGGATGTATTAAAGTAGTGTAATGTGTGTCTAAGCTTATGACATGTATCATAGCCTTTCCAAGAACAAACTGTTTGGCTTTTACAACATTACTTATTAGGAAAGCATGTTGGGGACGTTTTGGTATGCTACATTTGACACCCCAAGCTGCTTTTAGTCAACAACAAGGTAAATATGGTTTTAAATTATAGGCAAGGCAGCTTTAATTACAAAGCACATTTCATACTCTGAATAAATGAAATTTTCTACTGTGCATTTAATTTTGTTATAGGTTGTTGCTTTTAAAGTTTTCGTTCGGTTTATGAAAGTTAAGCAGCAGCTAATGAATGAAAAGCGCTAGACAAGGTCAAACTGCAAGTGCAGGCTCAATCTCAGTTCACTCCTGCCCACTCACTTCCGTTGTGACACACATGCTACCAGAAATGTCCACACAGAAGACGACCAGCGTGTCCTCCAAGTTCTGGTAATCGTTGTCGCTTAATTTTGGCAAGTAAAGGTCGTCGCTGTGCACGCCTGCACGCTGACCAATGCACAGTCTGGAGACGCCTTCATCTACACCTGTTTTGCATCCACAGAACTCACAAACCCACACCTGCAAAAGACGAGGGTGTTTTGGAAAAGTGAACATTCATTTCACTGGTACAAAACTACAGAAGCTGTCTCCACTTACTTTTTCATGTACAGAACTCAGACATGACAACGCTGCACTACATTTCTCACAAATCACCGCGCTCTGGGAGTTCGGTAGACCTTTTTCTAAAGCAAGACAACCAGAAATCAGGTAAACCAAAGAAAGGCAGGTGTGTGTGTGCGTGTGTGTGTGTGTGTGTGTGTGTGCGTGTGCGTGTGTGTGTGTGTGTGTGTGTGTGTGTGTGTGTGTGTGTGTGTGTGTGTGTGTGTGTGTGTGTGTGTGTGTGCGCGTGCGTGTGTGTGTGTGTGTTTGTGTGTGTGTTCTAACCTTGGCTGATGTCAACTAGTTTCCCAACATCGAGGGAGACAACATTAACGTTGACATTAGAGCGAATTACGTCTCCTAATAAGTCAACTGATGAGACAAAAAGGGGGTTAAAAAAGTCCATCTCTGTCTGAGAGGTCAAAGGTCAAAGAAACACTCACGTCTGGGAGGAACAGGCGGTGAGAGTGAGAGAGGGGCGTGTGAAGGCTGAGTGGAATGAATGAGATCAAGGGGAAGAGAAGAAGGCCGAGGTTTTCTCAGATGGCGAGGAGGCAGCGGCGGAGGGAGTTGACCTGAAGAAAGCAAACACAAGAAAGGAAAAATGCCATGATGAAAAATTCGTAAAAGATCTATTAAAATCTGCACGTGCTGTGGTACTTTTAGAAAATGCCAGCACCACCCTGACACAGGAGCGGCACCAGAAGTGTATTCTTCACACAACAAAAAGACTGATTATCTTATTTACTGTCATGTGATTATCTTATTTACTGTCATGTATTGGTTTGAAGTGAATGGTTGTGCCTTTAGTTCATTCTCATCAAACCAGACTCCACGGAGCTGATCAGCTCGTATGGAGACCACAAAGTCTTGGTGGTGAAGTTGGAGCCTATGTAGATCTGGTGACTAGGAGTAGGACTAGAAGTGTCTAGAAGTTTTGGTTTGTTACTTCCTCTTGATTTACATTTTAGGGAGACATCTCTTTGCTTTTGAATTCAAATAAAGGGTTTTAGTTAGAATGTTGATTTGAAACAGATATGGATGGATCAGCCATACAGTGTTCAACACTGCCTACACGTGTGTGTCACCCTAACCCTAAACTAGGCTTTCAGGTGATGAGCGACAGCTTCTCTAGTCACATCAGTTACATGACCTGGAACCCAAACGTGTTAACCCTCTGGAGGCAGACGTTGCAGATTTGCAACAGTTAAAACCTACCTACCTGGTTACTCCACGTACGTATTTCATGAGCATTTTTTAACTCGGAAGTACCCCTGAAGGACTTAGTTGTTCGTCCTTTTATCAAAATGTATTGAGAGGGTTAAAAAGCATCTTCTAAACCACGGCTGGTCACATCAGTCAGACTTTCCCACAGACTGATTACAAAGAAGTTGGATAAAGTTCAGGACTGATAATAAAATATAAGTCGGAGTTATTTGTGAGGGTTGCAGAAAAAGCTAAAGAACATCAGACAAAGGTAAAGTTTGTAAAGAACAAACTAAAAGACTTACAGAGGAACGTTCATTAGTACAGAGAAGGCTAGTGCAAACAAACCATTTTTCTTTCACTCTTTCTTTCATGAGCGAACACTTTAAGAACAAAGGTAACAAAAAAGAACATTTTTAGTTCCATATCAGCAATAATCACATTTCCATTCTGTATAAACTTGTCTTGAATAATTAAACTCAACTAACAGCGTGGGCTTTCTCCATTTTCAACTGCTACCTGCACATCTACATTGTCTCCCTCGCTCTTGCTTCTGCTAGCCTGCCCACACACACACACGCACACACACATGCACACACAATTCAAGTCACCTTTTATTGTCATTGCAATTAATACAACAACATTTTCTATGCTCCGTGGATGAGAAATGAATAAATAAATAAATAACTACTGAAAATGCTTGAAAAGGGAATGATAAAATTCCTCTAGTTCCTCACTCATGCTATTAAAATGAATAAAAACAGTCAAAAATGGATAAAAAGTTCACACACACACACACACACACACATGCACACACAGACTGTCACCTCTTCAATAGACTTTCCTGTTATTTCACTGCTATACTCTTGAGATTATATTAACATTTGCGACAAAAACAAATGTTGTGTGTGTGTGTGTGTGTGTGTGTGTGTGTGTGTGTGTGTGTGTGTGTGTGTGTGTGTGTGTGTGTGTGTGTGTGTGTGTGTGTGTTAGAGAGAGAGAGAGAGAGAGAGAGAGAGAGAGAGAGAGAGAGAGAGAGAGAGAGAGAGAGAGAGAGAGAGAGAGAGAGAGTGTACCTTGCTGCTGTTTTACACCCACTATGTTCTCATATTCAGGCCTGCAGACAGATCCACCTGTGGTTTGAGCAAAAATGCGTTTTACAAATCCAGTTGAAGCAGCAGAAATGAAAACATATTAATTAAGAAGAAGCTGTAAGAGGTCATTTTAGTTTATTTTCTTGTCAGTGAAATATTTCAAGGCATTTTAAGTCAGACCTAAAGTGTCTTAGCCTGGCAAGCCAGACTAAATTGAATGAAAAAACTTTGTAAAGCAAGAATTTGGTCTAGTTCACTAGATTTAGTGAAAATTAATCTTCTGGGAGCTGAAATGTGGCGATGATAAACTGTTTAATGTCTTCTTCTGGCTCTTGGAGAGTTCAGACGCTTTTTTTCCTCCTCTCCTCCCTATCTTATCCCAAGGCTCTTGGTCTGTCTTTGGGTGTACGGCGCTTCTGCAGTTTTTCTGGAAACTGGAAATTATTAAAATGGACCTGGCCAGTTGGTCTCTCAACGCGATTGACGAAATTTTTTCAACGATGAGAACGAGAGAAGGGGCTCCCGATTGCCCCTCTGGGACAGAGCCAGCTGGGTATATCATGGACTCCTGGAAACAGTGGAACCTGATCTGCCTCTCTCAACTGTCTGTAGAGGATTCTGAAGATGTCTGGATATTCGTGGTGTTGGTGTCAGGTTTCGTGCTGTTTGGCCTGAGCAGTTACCTGGCTTACTGGAAAATTAATGAGCTGGCGAGGAATATTGTCTCAATCCCGGAGCTCAGGGATGGATTACACCATTCCGTGAATGCACAAACTCATATAATTGTCGAGATGAATCGTAAGCTTGGAACTTTGGTTGAGATTCAGACTCTGGCACAGAAGGTTGATGTCATCAAGGATAGAGCTGATGGATCAGCACGGATTGGGATATTAATTTACGCCATTATTGGATTCAGAGGGATTGGAGATCAACAGAACTTTAAGACAGAGAGGAAATGATCTCTGTCTGGCCCCAAAACAATCCTTATCTGAATCTGGTGCCCTTGAGCTTGTGAGGCTGAAGTGATTACTCCCCCTCAGAAGAAATGTGGAATGCTGCCATCGCCATGGTAACTCTGTCTCCCTATCCCAGCCTGGGCGGGACTGCGACTGGTGAAGGCCCTTGAATCGTTTCCAGGAGTCACTGTGCTCTCTAACCCAAATACCTTCTTCCGCTGTCCAAGCAGAGGTGACAAGCGCTGCTTATCGCAGCTGCATGCACTGAAGTGAGGAGAGTCCCCAACCCTACCTCCCCACCTAGTGGACACTTATGTTGTGTAATGTCGGAAGTCTGTGAGCATTTCTGTCTGAGGTGTTTTTTTGCATAGCAAAGCTGCCCTTCCTGTGGAGGGTAACTCTTGCGCGACTCGGGCTGCGAATGACCACAGTCACCAATTCTTGTCATGTGTCTATGCCTATGTATGTATGTCTGATCTCAGAATTGTGTGTACTGAAACTCTAATTTCACTCTGGGATTAATAAAGTATCTTTGAATTTGAATTAGAAACCATCTAGTCATGAAGACATTGTGTTTACAGTGTGTTGTGGTTTTAGCGGCTGGACTTGATCACACTCACCTGCTCCATCTGATCTCCAGTTACAGACAACATGGCTGCAGGCAAACTGCATCTGAAACACATGAAGGCTTCGGCTTTTGTTCCAGTTTAACAGAGATGACTCTGGTTTCCTGCTAACATGGGAGGCTGTCATGTTTGGGTTTCAGCACAGCAACATAAAAATGTCAGATCAGCATCCTGGCATTGCCGTTATGTCGTCACCATGACAACTAGGGCCTGCAGTTGGGTTGTTTTTCTAGTTAACAGGTGTGTGAGTAAAACCATGAAAGCAGACGTTTCCCCATTTCCTGTGAACAACTGTGAGAGTAAACAACATGATGGCTAGGATCATCATGGGTCGTAGTGTGTATGGGGCCGGATACTGACTAATGTCTGGGTTTCAGGGGTTTAAAACTGCTTTGGGATTCCCTAACCACAAAGTAAACACAGTGACCACACCAGTGACTACCAGCTGCACCAGTCAGCTGCTCATGCACGAGATGGAAAGACCAAACTCGAAACTCACCTCTCTGCAGACGACACTCTTTAATCTTACCACTGATTGGCTGCACTTGGTTTATATTTATTGTATTTTTTACAAAGTGAATGATTTTTATGCAGGAAGGAGCCTTAGATCAAGCATGCCCAAAATGCTGGAGCCATTAGCGTCCCTCGGAGAGTTTGTGAGGCCTCCGTTGCTTTTCTAGAATGCTGAATTTTGTCTCTGCAGCAGTTCTTTGTTGTGGGTTTGTACTTGCTAAAGATTACTGATTAGATGTACTCTCACAGGAAAACCTTTAGGGGTGCACAAGCTTCAAATACATTGTCCTAAGCTGTGGGTACTGTTTGGATCCTTTTCATTGTTTGAGCTCAACAGTGTAACCTCTGCTGGTCCTACATCTAAATTACTTGTACACAAATATACCTCTGCCCTGCTAAATGTGTCAGTATGCATGTACACAATTAATAGACAAAATGAACAATTGTTTTTCATTGCTTGTTTCTTTCAAGATTACCAGAATTTACAGTTTGTTTGTTTTTTGCCCACAGACATACAGTTACCTGACATAGCACATTGAGATATAGAATAATTAGTACATATGTGTACTTTTTACAACTTAGAAACATAAATGTACCTTAAAGTCTCCAATCTACACTAGAGAGTACAGGCCCAAACTGTTTCTTACTCCATTACTTCTTCCTGTAGTGGTAACACATACCCTTTGCTGCTCCTAAAGAAAAGCATCCAGCGCTTTTATATCATTTTCATTTTTACATTAAAACCGGAGGAAGTTGCTGATGAAAATATTCAGAAAATCTGACCTGAAAACCCATATCTTCTTTATCTTTAAGGAATCAGAAGAATCGGAATCACAATCGTTACCATGTCAGTTGCACTCATGAGGATTTGTCTTTGGTGTTTGGTGCAGGGGACGATTAACACGTGAAACTCGTAAAATCATAGAATCATCTGAATGCTTGCACCTGCTGTGAGAACGATGATGTGCAAGCTATCAGCAGACAAGCATTAGCCAAGGAACAGTTCGCTTAGAATACGATACTAAACCAGGAACTCTAATCAAAATAATGAATTAATTTATCATTAACAAACTAATGCTAAATTAGCCCAACAAACTCTCAAAATGTGCAACATAATTCAGCTCAACTCACTTATTTGGACAAGAACAATCTTTCCATCTAAAAAAATCCTAGTATCTCATTTAGACAAGGACGCCTGTAGCTGTAGGTAACAACGCACTGAGAACGGTTAATTTAATCTTTTTATTGAGGAAAACAAAATCCACTCAGTGATTTTCAAACATGAAATGTAAATTGTACCTGGGTGTTAGCTAAACATGCTAGCTAGCTACATTGAGCTAACTTGATGTTGGTTTTTACGTAGAGTTAATGGTAACAATTTATAACGTTTATTAACGTTCCTAGTGCATTGTTAATGTCATGATGTGAAGTTATTGTTAGAGCCCAAATGCAGGCACAGGCTGCCGGTAAGAAAAACTGATTTATTAGAATAATGGCAGGTGACATGACGGGAAGACAAGATCTGACAGGCCAGCACAAACAGAGGGTTTCAATACATGAGGATAGTCAGGGAAACGTGAATAAGGTAATGAAAGGCGAGTGAGTTCAATCAAGGAAGACGAGACACAGGAGGCTACAGGAGCAGATCTTGACAAGCAGTAATAAACTATTCAATAAACTATTAACTGCTTAACCTCATTAAGGAATGCATTACCAAGCAGACACCTCCCCTGACCTTAAGGACATTCAATAGTGTACAGTAACAGTAACATTAATAAATGTACCCATTGTTTATTTATGCTTAATAATGCACTAAGTAACATTAATAAAGGGACCCTTATTGTAAATTGTTACCCTGAATTTAAGTAGATAATTTGTATAATTTGTTTAAACACCTTCAGACCAAATAGCTGAGTAAAGCCAGCTCAAGGTTTGCTCACAAACAAGCGTTGTTCCGGTAAAATGTCTGATTTGATCAGAAATGCTGAGACTGGTGTTCAGATGTTTAATATCCTGTATGTGGCAGTTTCTTCATCTGCTGACATGACTATTAACCCAGCGCCGTTAGGTTAATATATTCCTGCAACACTAAACTGTTTAATTAGCACGTGCTTGTTATTTAAACTTTTTAAACATGTTTCACAAATTAAATTATTTGCTGTTATAAGTCTATCAACTAATGTTTTGATTGCATGTTATTACATCCATTTTCATTTCCCAAAAGTCCAATTTTAGCTGTTGATTTAATAGAAAGACCATTTTTCCCTATTTCATTCAAACACCAACATCAATAAATGGACCATATTGCTTTTTGTAGCAGTAGCAACCATGCATAAGGTAATTACACTGATTATGCATGAGTCAACTTGAGATGATTTTTTTAACTACAGTTGTAAATGGTGCAAATTTTTTAAACAAATTTATAAACACATAATTTCTGCAGTAACACATATATTAGTGCAAAAACAACTTCTTTGGTTTATTTTGATGTTTCCAGTGGGTTCTTATTACAACACATCACACAATACAACACAAGAGGCAATTACCTTTGTCGTGTCTTTGTGCAGCAGAGTTGATCATACTGAAAGCAGATGACTGTTACACGGCAGGTTGTGTGTGTGTGTGGGAGTGTTGAAAGCATGCAAGAAACACTGAGTGTCAGGAAGTAGATGTAGGGCTGGAGGCTGAGAAACACACCAAGAAATGAAAGTTAAAAGGAAGAAAAGAGGTAACAGGGAAAATAAACAGGTAAGATGTTACAAACGAAATCATTTAATATGAGAAAATGTAGTTTTTGACCTTTGATCTCATCTCATAAAGTATAACAGCATGTTACTGTGGGAAAGTGTCTCAATGAAACATCACACAATGATTTATGTTTTTATTTTACAAGTGCAATCACATAAGTCATTAGACAACATTATGAATGATATTAAACTAGAATTTATTTACATTTTGTTATCATTTAGAAAACATTTCTATACAATTTCTCTCTTTGCCTCAGAAATGAGATCAAAATGCATTAAGTTCACACTCCGAAAGACCCGTGTTAGATTATTATTATAGAAGACTGTCCTCGTGGACAAATCTCTGAATTTCCAGTTCATTTGTTTTATTTCTGCTCCTCAAGAGTCTCCATGACAGCTCTCAAGATGGCAGCAACGGCCACGGCGCCAGGGTCAGGGAGGGTAACCCGGTCAGCGGCGATGTAGCTGGCTCGCCCGGCCCTTGCTGTGAGGTCACGGGTCGCTTCTGCACCTGATGTTGCTTTCTAAGGGACGATAAGGAGGTTTTAGGATGATGCCACGGTGACTAACATGCAGATGTGCTAATGTGTGTCATTTCTGCACCTGAACAGCAGCCTGCAGTACAGCCATCGTTCCACTGGGTGGAGTTGTGGTGAGCTTCATCAGCTCGTCTGCTGCAGGACACAAAGCATCCAGCTACAGAGGCAGGGGGAAACTCAAGGTGAGGACTAGCAGTAAAAGGTAACACGCTAAAATGAAGATTAATGTTTCTCACCATGGTTCTGTCTCCAGGATCAGCTCCTCCATACCTGGAAGACATTTGTTATTCAACACATGACCCTGTTTTCTCTCTTAATCTCCCTTTTTTGGGGTTATTTGTTTCTTTTTTCTGCCTGTTCATCTTGTCCAAGCAGCAGCAGCAGCCCATCGTACTACAGACTGAATAAATTTAATTGTACAACACGAGGAGTAGCTACAACCCAATGTTCTACCTTTGACTGAATAATGTCTGAATACAGAGGAAGAACCAAAGCTCACAGGTGAAAATCATTCTAAATATTGCCGTTTATTCTGTAGTTACAAACAGGCCCTTATTTAAAGCACCTAAAGATGTCAAACACATTTAGAACATGAATATTCTTATAGCTAGCTTCTGATATGTGCACCTTCTCATGGCTTGTGTCCCAGCATGCAGCGCTCTAGCCCAGGAAGCAGCATCGCTCCGCCCCTCGGTCACATGACCAGCTGCTGCCGTGAGGAACAAACTGTACAACTTAAGAGACAGCAGAGAGGAGTGTCAGCGTGCAACTTCAGCTGTCAAACACCGTCTGATTGGTCTCACCGCTCCAGAAGACCCGCCCATCTTCTCCTGCACCAACCCAGCAAGGACAGACAGGAGTTGCCCCGGGCAACCAGGGACCACATGATCCTGGAGCCAGTTCTGAATGGCTTCAATAAAATGTTACACAAGTCTGTTTAGGGGCATCTTTAATCCTGCCTTTAAGCCCCGCCCACTACTGACGGCGTTTCCTACCTCTGGCAGCTTGAGCGTGAGTGTTCCCACAGTCTCCGTCCCCGGCGGCTCGATCCAGGGAGTTTAGTTCCTCCTGCTTGTCCAGCAAAGTGGAACAGATCTTTTCCAAAGCGTTACGCATCATAGGACTCCAAGGTCCTGACGGAAACAAAAACTAGCGTTTATGATTTTGACTGATGCAGCCGGGTGCTCGTTTGTAAAAACATCCTAACAGAAAAAGCTTAATTAGACGAGCTTCTGGAAATACTTTACTGCATAAAAGCAACACATCGCTCTGTTCTTGTGCTGTTTGTTACCCAGGTGGCATCTAACTGTGAGGTTCCATCTTTACGAGACTAAAGAAACTGACCTTCGGCGTGTGTGTCGTCCTGCGGCCGCGTGGTGAGAAAAGGACAGTCTATGATGTAGCTGCGGCCGCTCACACACACACTGCTGAGACTGGGCCAGGCGGGGGCGCTAGTTGTAGCATCTGGATGAGATAGGAGAACTTTTGGTTTGAGCTTTGTTGACACAAAATACATCGATTTGTATTGGAAATATCTCAGACCCAACATTTTCCCTGTGTTATTTAGAATCCTGTGTCTCATTCAAGCACTCTGTTCTCAATTTCTAACAGCAGTTCCTGTCAAACTGAACTTCTTCAAATAACAGCTGAGTCACGGTGCACCTCAGGAGTCAGTCCTTGGTCCCCATTTTATTGCAAAAGCAGATATTAGCTTAAATTAGAATTATCCTAAGCTAGGTCTGAAATCGTCTACACCTAAAACACGAGTCTAAGGCGCTGTTCACAATAATAAAGGTAGTTTTAAAATTGAGCTTTCGCTGTCATTGTTCATGTAACAGTCGAGTGGTGGTGTTCCACAGGGGTGAGTCCTTGGTCCCCCTGCCATTCACAAAACTCCTATTAACCAAAGAAGTTAAATTATCCTAAACTGGGATTTAAATATTCCACACTTAAATGATACATCGAAAAACATGAGTTTAAGGCCCTGCTCACTATAATAAAGGTAGTTTTAAAGACAGAACTTTTACGTTGTGTTAAGATTTAAGAGCTAAACAAGAGATTTTACAAAAGTATTTTCCAAGGAAAAGATACAAAAAAAAAAAGCATCATGGCAGCATCATGTCTGGAAATATAAAGATTTTCAGAAACAATGACATGATAACATTGTAGTAATTGTAATTTTGCATTTAAATGGATTATACAAACAAAACCATGGTTTTTTAGGTAGGCGTCTACTAGAGGTAGGTCTTTGTGCTTGAAAGCCTACCAAACAGTCTCAGTACTTCTGGGTTGATTTTCATCAGGGTGAGCGACACTCCTGCCATCTCCAGTGACGTCATAAATGCTCCGGACATCACCCTGACAACCACCACGCCCCGGCTCTCTGAAACCACAGAACCACCGGTCAGTCATGTCTATTTAAACTTTACTAAAATATCTAATAAGGCCTCCAGCTTTTCAGAGTTTTTCTGTCATCATCCAACAGTCAGAACCAGAACAGGACAGCAAAAATAACAAACTAAACAATCAGAACTTGTGTGAAAACACACAAACAACACACTCTCTGCTCACCCAGGCAGTTGAGGGCTGCTCTGGTGACCACGGCCATCTCCAGACACGACAGAGCTCCGAGGTTGTTCACACACAAAACAACGGCGTCGCCTACATGGAGCAGACAAAAACTAGATCCTAACGAGCTCAAACATTTAAAATAATTCCCTTCTAGAGCTCAGATGCTGGACCTGAACTTAGAGGCAGATGTGATTGGCTATCTGGGTTGGTCATATGATCTAGCATGGTCTTCACCACCTCATCAGCAGATGCCACCTGGGTAACAAACAACACAAGAACAGAGTGATCTACATATGTGGAGAACTCATTTAGGATCTTATTGGTTGCTTGTTGAATCACCTTTGATCTCTGGATTCCTGGTTCACCGTGGATTCCTAAAGGATGGAAAACACGGATCAGTGCTCAGGACAGGTCTCCCTACATTAAAAGCCTCCAGTTAGGAGGAAGGTAATTTATCAGCACTGGTTTATGTTTAGAAATGAAGCTGTAGCTAATTTGGTCTAATCTGTAAATATCTGATGTGCTCTGCATTTGTGAAGGATGCAACGACTACCACGAGGAATCAGTATAAGCTTTTATCTGATCTCCCTGCTGTTCGTTGGTGTGAAGCTAACGATGTGTCTGTTGTTGCCGCCTCTTGGTCGGATCGTCGTTGAAACGAGAAAGAGTTCTCAATCGATTCATCTGGTTAAATAAAGGTTAGAAAAAATAAAATAAACTTCAGCCATGTTCCAGTTTGCTAATGATAATTACCTCTAGCAGCCAGATGACGTTGGATTGACTACAAAAGGTAATCAGTTGTAAATGAAAATCTGATGATTAATTTAGAGATATTTTGCTAATTAACCAAACCTCTAATTAGGGTTTTCTTTATTAACTGACCAAAGCCACTAGATGGAGCTGTTTTTGTGTTTCTTTTTATCTCCATTTTGATTCACACATTTAAACTTCATATTATTCAAAATTTGTATTAATCAAAAAATAAAGAACTAATTATAGTTTTCCAATTATTTGTTTATATTTTTCTGGTATAAATTTGAAAAGCACTTGAAATTGTATGAGACCCTCCTCCCCCCCACCTCCTCACCCAGTCCCAGCTCCATGTCTCCTGGCGGCAGGTCGAACGAAGGCAGGCAGCCGGGAACGCTGCATGGAGACAAGCTTACCCCCAGAGTACCTGCAACACAGGAGTCCATACATAGATCTTATTCAATTCAAAAGAACTTTAATCATCCCCGAGGGGCAATTGTTTCAGTACAAACAATTCCAAGATCAGACATACATACATAGACACATGACAAGAACTGGTGACTGTGGTCATTCGCAACACGAGTTGCGCTACCGTTGTAGATCAAGAGGGTTTATATGAGGATAGAGTCGGGGGGAGGGGAAAAAAGGCACTTCCGAGTTACCCCCGACAGAGAGGGTAGCTTTGCTATGCAACAAAAACACCTGACAGATATGCACAGACTTGAGACGATACACAACATAAGTGTCCACTAGGTGGGGGGGTAGGGTTGGGACTCTCCTCACTTCAGAGTGCGCAGCCGCAAGAGCAATGCTCACCACCTCTGTTTGGACAGGGGAGGGAGATTATTGAGGTTGGAGAGCACATTGACTCCTAGAGACGGTTCCACGGCCATCACTGGTCACAGTCCCGCCCAGGCTGGGATAGGAGATAGAGTTTCCATAGCGACAGCAGCTTTCCACATTTCTTCTGAGGGGAGTTTTCACTTCAGCCTCAAGGGCACCAGATTCAGATAAGGATTGTTTTGGGACAGACAGAGATAATTTCCTCTCTGCCTTAGAGTTCTGTCGGTCATCAACCCCTCTAGATCCAATAATGGCATTATCAATCTATTCCAAACCGTGCTGATCCGTCAACTCTCTCCTTGATGACATCAACCTTCTGTGCTAGAGCCTGAATCTCAGCCAAAGTTCCAAGCTTACGACTCATCTTGACAATGATCTGAGTCTGTGAGTTTACAGCACGATGCATCCCATCCCTGAGCTCCAGGGTTAAGCCAATATTCCTCGAAAGCTCGTTAATTTTCCGGTATATCAGGTAACCGCTCAGGCCAAACAGCAGAAATCCCGACAACAAAACGACAAATATCCAGACGTCTTCAGAATCCTCTACAGACAGTTGAGACAGGCAGATCAGGTTCCACTGTTTCCAGGAGTCCATGATATACCCAGCTGGCTCTGTCCCAGAGGGGCATCCAGGAGCCCCTTCTCCCGTTCTCATCATTGAAAAGATTTCGTCAATCGCGTTGAAAGACCAACTGACCAGGTCCATTTCTAATAATTTCCAGTTTCCCAAAAAACTGCAGAGAAGTGCAGTGCACAGGCAGACAGGACACAAAGAGCCTTGGGAAGAGCAAGGAGGGAGAGGAGAAAAAAGCGTCTGTACTCTCCAAGAGCCGGAAGAAGGTTATGGCAAGTATTTAAACCAACAATAAAGAGTTTTAACACTTGTTGCTTTCAAACTGGTTTAGTGATTCTTGAGACATAAACTTGAGCAACACAGGACAGCACTCAGTGGCTGTCTGCCTGCCAGAAACTGCATGCAACAGTGCTGTGGTTCATGTAGGAGCACGAGTAGGAGGTCTCTACCTGCTTTATGGTGACATGATTACTGTGCTTGTAGCTAATATAAGGGCTAGCAGTTGGATTTTAGTTCACAAACCATCAACGAAAGCTAAAGAATAATAACGTTGCTTTTCTGTTGGCATCTTGGTGGACTCTGCAAGTGAACATGAGAGAGTAACGTCTTTGGAGGTGAAGCAAAGAAGTGCAGCCACGATTAGTCGATTCGTCATGACAACGTTGACAAACAAAATAGTAGGCAATAAATACAATAGTCGATGTCGTTTATTCTAGGAGCATTTTTTAATCCTGCCTGCTGCGGCTCCTTCGGCGGCTGCTTTCTGCCTTTCAGCTCGAGGCACATGCGCCGTAGCGGCCATCCACTCCGGACTTGGAATCCGAAGAAAGACGACATCATGGCGAGTCGGCAACTTAGCTCAAACGATTGAGATTTTACATAGGCACACGAGAAGCAGGTACAGTGCAAAATCTGCAAAGTGAAAATCTCCTTTCACGGGAGCACATCGGCGATGCACGAGCACCTTAAAAGGAAACGCGTCATGACGGAGAACGAAGAGTCGCCTCTGTGAGCTAATTACCTCTCGTTAGCTGCCAACATCAACAGAGAGTTACTTGTGTTCATAGGTGTAGCAACAACAGTAGTGGTGGTGACTTTATTACCTTTATTACACAGATGTATGTCATGTATTTGCTCTAACGTGACATGCTGAGTAATTTTATCCCGCTATGTTACAGTGTTAAAAGAAGCACTCTTCCTCTTCAATGGAAAAAAGCCAAAATGACTATTATAGCTGGATACATTTGTAAGCACAAGTCATTTTTGGTTTAGGTGCCTACCTCCGTTTGACCATGTAGCATTTGTAGTAACAGGTTACAAAGTTAACTAAAAGTTGTTTAATAAGCCATCATCTTGTTTTTACTATTAGTTGGCACATTACTGATCATACTTCAAACTAGAAGCTAATGATGGGTATATTAGAGCATCCTGGTGCAATAAGCTATACTTTTATGCACGACACGATTGGTCGACTAATCGTCAACAAAAGTGGTGATTAGTCCATCCGTCCATACATTTTCGGCCGCTTATCCGAGGTCAGGTCGTGAGGGCAGTAGACTAAGCAGGGAGGCCCAGACTTCTCTCTCCCCAGCCACTTGGGCCAGCTCTTCTGGGGGAATACTAAGGCGTTCCCTGGCCAGCTGAGATACACAGTCCCTCCAGCGTGTCCTGGGTCTTCCTTTAGGCCTCCTCCCGGTTGGACATACCTGGAAAACCAGGCATCCAGGAGGCATCCTAACCAGATGCCCGAGCCACCTCAACTGGTTCCTCTCGATGTGGAGGGGCAGCAGGTCTACTCCGAGCCCCTCCCGGACAACCGAGCTTCTCACCCTCTCTCTAAGGGAGAGCCCAGCCACCTTGCAGAGAAAACTCATTTCGGCTGATTGGCCCGCATTAGCTTTAGCTCATTGTTAGCGCTAGCTACAGGATTGTTTACGACAGATGTAATTCTGATTTCGACCAATAGGAGGAAGTAGTGTGTAACTTAGTGCTTTTAAGGTGGACACAAACTAAAAATACTACTAAAAATACTCACCAATCCCCTTCAGAACCTCTGTCACCTTGGAAACAATCTGGTCCAAAGGGCAGCCTTCTTCTGCAAGAGCTCCTGCTAGCTGCATCCAGATGGAAGAAGGCAAAAAGATTAAAATAAAACTGAGAAAAGAGAAAGTTCTCGAAACTTAAACTCTAAAAGTTCTTCTTGATGTAGCACAAGATGTTTTTTTAATCACAAACCTTGTGTATGAAGACGGTACCGCACAAGCCTCGTCTGCCAGCCTTACTGGGCTGGTCGAAGGCGCAGTCCTCAGCAACTATCACCATGTCAACAGCCACCCCCTGGTTACGGGCCTGCTCAGCAGCCAAGCCAAAGTTCAGGCGGTCGCCTGTGTAGTTCTTCACAATCAGAAGGACCCCAGAGGCTCCTGCGAATGAGCATGTGTTAGCCATTTTGTTTTATTTGAACGTAAAGCTGCTCTTGTTTGGATTACCTGCTTTGTGTAGGGCCAGAATGGCGGCCAGGATGCTGGTAGGAGGCGGCGAGGCAAACACTCCTCCGGCCACAGCTGCAGACAACATACCTGCTCCGATGTAACCTGAAGAGACGAACGTGGGGTCAAATCACCAACACAGAGCGCTGAAATGGTCCAGCTAGGATTTAGTTCTGCTACATGGAGGTCCTACCCCCGTGTGCAGGCTCGTGTCCTGACCCCCCTCCAGACAGCAGGGCCACTTTTCCCTTCAGGTTGTCCAGATCAGAGCGGAGCACCACTCTGTGGCCCCTTAGCAGAGAGAGGCCCCCAGAGGCCCGGACAAGGCCACAGAGAGCCTCGTCCACACAGCTCTCCACTGAGTTGATCAGCTTCCTCTTAGGCTGGGACATGGCAACACAATACCATCAGATGTAATGTACTACAGTAGTTTGTCCAGACACCTGAATTCTGCAGGACTTAAACAACAGAACACGCTAATGAACTAAAATCAGCCAAAATGAACATCAAAGCTCTACGTGTTTAATTTTAAATTCCCAGTAGTTGATGAAGCTTGTTATCAGTGCATCATGGACTCTGATCCTTCTGAATTTACTAAAGATTGCTAGCTTACCCGAGCAGCCAAACACGTGTATCATTCTCCAAACAATCACATATTTACTATAAAATAAGTGTAACGCTTGGTGCATTTTTCCCTTTTGTGTAAAAAGACCATACAGTTAGTTTTTCTACCTCCATTTGAACTTTTCTTGCTCCTGTTTCCGTCAGACTGCAGGTGACGTAGCTGCGTTCAACTAGCGAAGGTTACGCAGACGTAAACCGGATGTTATATTCACAAGAATACCTAATAAATTAAAGCCTTTCTTTGCATCTTTTTTTTAATAGGAATGTGTTTTTGTTTGAGTCGAGCCGAGCCATTTAAATCTACAACATTGATTATGCCGTTAAATACAAAAAAGTGTTTTGTGAAGCTGAGAGAAATAGTCATTTATCCACCTTGAGTTTTATTTTGATAAACATATAAAGGAAGTTCTTGTTTCTTCATCCAATAGTTTCCGGTTTGATTGTGAAAACATAAGAATACGAGCATCTTCACATTGTTTCCAATAATAGACCCAAAATAATCGTTTTAACATTAGCTGAAGTTAGCTGTCAAAAAATCGTCTATCTTCGGCTGAAATTAAACAGTTGTTGGTTAAAAAAATCCTGATTCTGAACAAATCAAAAGATTAGGGGGAGAATACCAAAATACCAGTTTATGAGTTTATACACTCTTGATTGTAAATAAAGAAGAAGAAGAAGAAGAAGAAGAAGAAGAAGAAGAAGAAGAAGAAGAAGAAGAAGAAGAAGAAAATATTTCAATAGCGCCTCTCAAGGTAAAAATCACGAGGCGCTTCACAAAAACAAAAAATGTAAAAATATAAAAAAAGAATTCAGAAAATTGTTAAAAATATATTTAAATGAACAAAAAATAGACAATTGTGATAAAAATGTTAAGAAAGAGAGAGAGTGAAAAGGAAAGAGGGAAATCAGTGGATCCTGAGGAAGGTGGAATAGGTGGGGAGAGCAGAATAAAGAGAGAGAAGGTCAGCCTGAACAAGTGAGTCTTCAGCTGCTTTTTAAAGGAGTCCACTGATCTCAGGCTCAGGGGGAGAGAGGTCCAGAGTCTGGGGGCCACAGCAGCAGATGATCTGTCACCTTTGGTCTTTAGCCTGGTGCGTTGCACAACCAGTAGGCTTTGGTCACTGGACCTCAGGGACCTGCTGGGGGTGTAGGGACTAAGAAGATCACCAATGTAAGATGGTGCTTGTCCGTGTAAGGCCCTATATGTTGTGTGTCCACCTTACTACTTAATTAGATGGAGCACTCTGAATTAAATCAGGACATGAAGCACGGTCTTTCTTGGATCCTTTATTACACAACCTTCATGTGTTCTTTCTTCCAGGCCACTTTATGCCCCCCCCCCACTTCCGGTCTCATTTACATCCGGTTCAAAAGTCCTCCCCTTAAGACATAGTCACAAATCAAATATCAGTACATGACATCCCCCTTTTTCTTAGATTCAAACTTTGGTCTTAATAACCTTTCTTTTTTTTTTTTTTTTTTTTTCTTTGAACATTCTTTCTTATCTTACTTTCTAACACTTATATTTTCTAACTGTCTCGCCCCTCATTTACATGTCCACATACACATATAAACTGGCAACTTGAACCTTAACCCTCTTGAAGTTACCTCTTCAACTTAACCTATTATGATTTATTTCACCACAAAATCACGAAACCTCTCAGGTATCTTTTTAATCCTCTGCGATCTCCTTGATCTCTCTGGTCCCTGTGGGCCCTCTTGTGTTGGAGTGAAGGTGTCAGTTGTTGTGGGTGTCTCACCTTCTTCCTTTTTAGGTATAGTGTTTTGTTCGTGGTGTCCTTCTCGGGTCCCATTTGTCTCATATTTCTTCACGTGTGTCGTATTCCGTTGATAACGAGCTCCGGTTGGTGATTCAATAGTGACTTGGTTTCCAGTTCTGCTTACAACTTTGTGTGGTGTTGTATTGAATGGTGTTGTAAACTTGTCCACTTTGTCTTGTTGAACCAGCACGGTGTCTCCCGTGTCAACGTTTGAATACTCTGCCCCTCGTCGTTCATCGGCATAAATCTTTGATTTTCCTTTCTGTTCCGCATCTCTATCACGCACGTCCAACTCCGCTGTTTTCGCCTCACTGATGTTCGGTAACTTTCCCCTCATTTTGCGGTTGAACAGGAGTTCTGCTGGGCTTTTGCCCGTGGTTGGATGTTCAATGCTGCGATACACTGTTACATATTTTCTTAACTCTCGCTTCCAGTCAAGACCTGCCGCTTGTGCGATCCTGATTCTTTTCATCAGTGATGCATTTTGGCGTTCCACTTCCCCATTTGCTTGAGCCCATTTTGGTGTAGTTCTTATATGTTTAATTCCATTAGTCTCACAATATTTCCCGAACAGCTCAGATTTGAACTGTGGGCCGTTATCAGATTTGATGGTAACTGGTAGCCCATGTCTGCTAAATATACAGTCAATAGAGTCAATGACCTTTTCAGCAGTTGTAGATGACATCACCTCATACTCATAATATCGACTGTAGTAATCTACCAGTACGAGTATCGAGTGGTTTGAAGGTAGCGGTCCCAGTAAGTCTACCGCCACATCTCGCCAGGGCCCATCTGGTAAAAGTGTATTTCTCAGTGGCTCCGGTGGATCCGGTCTGGCTACTATTTGACATCCGTGACAAGCTTTACAGAATTTTTCTACAGCTTTGTCCATCCCTGGCCACCAAACTTTTGTTCTGAGATGCTGCTTGGTTCCAACGATTCCTAAATGTCCTTCATGAGCTAGTGACAGCGCTTGAGCTCTGAGGTTTTCTGGCAATATAATGCGAGTTCCCCGCAAGACTATGTAGCCAATGACACAGAGTTCATTTGCAATGGGCGCGTATGCTTTGCATTTTTCAAAGTGTCCATTGTCAATAGCTCTTCGCACTTCTGTTAATTCTGAGTCTGTAGCAGAGACTTCTTCAACCTCTCTTGTTGTGAGTGCTTTTGGAGTAGCATTAACTGCCACAAATCTCACATATTCCTCAGATTCATGCTTGTGTACCTCTTTTGACGTGGTATCAGAGAGCAGTCTTGACAATGAATCCGCAATGTTTTGTTTTCCCGCAATGTGTACTACTTTATAATCATATGGCTGCAGTCGTAGAACCCATCTTTCTATGCGTGCACAAGGTTTAGATCTCGGACTGTATATGACCTCTAAGGGCTTGTGGTCTGTGATGAGGTCAAACTTCCTGCCATATACATACGGATGTAGTCTCTCACATGCCCATACCAGTGCTAGAGCTTCTTTCTCTGTTTGAGAGTATCTTCGCTCACAGTCTGTTAGACTCCGACTTACATAGCACACTGGTACTTCTTCTCCATTCTGTGTTTGTATTAACACTGCGCCTAGGCCTACAGGGCTTGCATCTGCTATGACACGAGTTGGGGCTTCTTTGTCAAAATATGCTAGAGTACCTGCTCTAGCTAACTCAGCCTTTAGTCTTTCGAACACTTGCTTTTGTTCTGGCCCGAATGTAAACATCACTTCCTTTCGAGTTAAACGTCTAAGCGGCTCAGAGAGTGTAGCAAACTGTGGTATGAACCTACTACTGAAACCGACCAGTCCAAGAAAGCTTCTCACCTCAGTAGCATTCTTTGGTTCTCGGGCTTCCACCACAGCTCTCACTCTTTCTTCAGTTGGGCCGATGCCTTTCTGCGTAAGCAGTATTCCCATGAACACAAGTCTGTCCATGTTGAACTGACATTTCTCTGCGTTTAGTGTCAGGCCACAGTCAGAGAGTCTCTTCATCACAGCATGCAGGCGCTTGTCATGGGCTTCCTGGTCTGGTGCATGTATGATTACATCATCTGAAATGTTCTCAACTCCTTCAATACCAGCTAGTGCATTGGCGATCTCATGCTGATATTGCTCACTAGCTGATGAGACTCCAAATATCAGCCTTTTGTATCGGTATACCCCGTTATGCACTGCAAATGTAGTTATCTCTCTTGACTCCGGGGTAAGCTCTAGTTGATGATATCCCCACTTGAGATCGAGTTTGCTGAAGATTGCAGATCCGTTTAGTCCTTGCAAGATTTCATCCACCGTGGGTATGGGGTATCTTTCCCTGATTATTGCCTCATTTGCTTTTCTCATGTCTAAGCACATTCTGATATCTTTGTCACCTTTCTTTGGAAGCACCACTACAGGGTTTACCCAAGGTGTAGGTCCTTCCACACGTTCTATGATGTCCATGTCAATCAGTTCATTGATCTTTTTCTCCACTGCATCCCTCAAATGATAAGGTATGCGTCTCAGTGGCTGTGCTACTGGTTTCACGTTTGGATCAATGTACAGGCTGATCTGTTTGGTGTTTAGTTTCCCTACTCCTTTGAACACTTTTGGATACTTTTCTTTAAGAGTATGTTTTAAATCTGTGACAGCCGCCACATTTTCACCTATTTTCAACACTCCTAACTTTATGGCAGTCTTTTTCCCCAAGAGTGGTTCACCATTACCTCTAATCACAATGAATTCAGCCTCTTCAGTTCTGTCACCAATCTTGATTTCACATCTGAATGCACCTTTAACCGAGAGTGCCTGTGCTGATGAATATGCATATAAATTCCTCTGCTCTTTGGGTACATATGAATGACACTTTATCTTTTTAGCTTTTAGCTTTTCCCATATGTTTTCTCCCATCACATTACTTGTAGCTCCCGAGTCGACTAACATTTCCAACTCTATTCCCCCAACAGAAAAGGTAAGTTTCTCCGGTGAATTATCATCATTTACAACAAATGCATAATCATCCTGTTCAACAGCATTCACATTTTGTTTCCTTTGTCTCTTTGTACGACACATCTTCGAAAAGTGGTCCTTACCATTACACTTGTGGCATGTTTGTCCTCGTGCTGGGCATTTGGGATCTTTGCCCCTGTGGTCAGTATAACCACACCTGTAACACTGCCTGTCTGTCTTGGCATCATCTTTCATTTGTCCTCTTGGTCTGTGGTTCTTCTCTTTCTTTGCTGTAAAAATCCGGCTGACCGTGTTCTCTCCTTTCCTTTCCCCGGTACCGCTCATCGCCGCCATTTGCTCCTCCACTCGTTCGCAGTGAGAAGCCACCTCCAACGCGCGAGTCAGCGTTAAGCCTGGACCTTCCTCCAGCAGCTTTCTCCGTACATATTCAGAAGTGCATTTATTCAGGATAGCGTCCCTTATCTGGTTATCATTGTCACCTTGAAAGTCGCAGTCTTTTGCAGCT